GTATTATAAAGTAACGTTAATTATCTAACAAACATATATATATTGTTTATATTTTTAAACTTAATTTAATCTAAGTATAGAAGTTTTGTGTTCCAGTGAAAACATAATTTGTCATCCCCAGCAAGATCCTTATAAAAAAAAACAACTATAATTGTATTTATTCAAATTTCGATTCTGTTGCCGAATACGTTTTTGTTACTTTGTTAATTGATTATTCGATTTGGTCAATTCTGTAGTGAATTTCTACAATCGATTATTTGACGCACGGGACAATTGCCTCCGTTGTCTACTCACTTAAATGCGATCCTGACCTAGCCTAATCTAACTTTACCTTAGAGTGACTTAGTTTTGATAGGTATTTATCCTAAAAATAAATTGTACAACTCTTATGTCGAATGTATATTACTGTGTCCCTTGAGTAATTTTAAGGAGTAGACTTTTAATTTCGCACGTTATTTTTTATCTTGTTTTTTATCGGCTTTTTATACTGTGGTTCTTATTTATCTTTTCCCCGCTTCTTTTGGACACTTTTAGCGGTCCCCTCTGGACCAAACGAACGCAAACTCGGATTGATTAAGTGATATAAAAGTTGGATTTAATTTAATTTAACCTAGTTGTAGCATTGTTTTATTAAGTTATTTTAACGTATATTCGGGGTTTTTTTTATCGTTTTAAAAATAATATTTCTAAAATAAAAAAGACTAATACTATTGATTAGTGTGCTACTGTTATAGAAGACATGTTTGACGATATATGTATAATGTAATTTAATTTATATCAATACACGAGGACAAACCATTATTAACGAAAAATAATTCTAAGCGGAATATTATTAGTTTATTTTTTCCCTTTGTTGCATATGTAATTCAAAAATCAATAAAAATTATACTAAAATTTTCCATTTTTTTTCGTTTTATTTGTAAAAATATTTAATTAGGATATAAATTCACGAGTCGTTATTCAGGCGGCAAAATTTGGAATTGCCCGAGTGCATTCAGAAATGATACTTTTTCAATATCCCGAGTGTACCCGGAATATGAGATCACGCAAATGCGCCCCAATTAAACATGATATTTTTTTTAAAGTAGCCCGAATGCATCCCAGTTCATTTAAAATTACCTAGGGTGCACCAGAAGTAGTTGAACTGACTTAAGCCCCAAAAATATTAGTTTATTTTAATATCTATTATCGATTACACCCATTAAGGTTGATTGTTTTAAAATGGATACAGAATAATCACTAGAGATAAGGTACTTATAGTATTTAAATTTTTAACTAGTATTTAACTATCCAAGTGGGCGTAAAATCTGCTGTTGTTTTTAGAAATATAATCAACCGATAATTCCGAACTCTGACCCAATATCGCACTAATTTTATGCGTCTGTCTATTCTTCATCTATTGGGCCCCTTAGAAACAAATATTCCAGGGACCTTTGGTGCACCAGACCGACACTGTATAAATCGGCCATTTTTATACTGGATAATTATTATAAACCTTATTATACATTTTTATCATAACATTATATACTATAAATACTTATCGTTAATAATGTGACTTTTTCCACACCCCGTAGTCGTTGTAATTAATTATCCGGAGGTAACAAAAAAAATTATTATTAATCGATATCTTTATTACATTAATTTGTTAAATGTTCATAATTACACTCTATGGTAGGACGACGACGGCGGTGGGACGGCGAGAAGGGAAAAAAAGCTCACAGATTGCCAAACGACAGTATTTATAGCCGCAATATTCTTCTTTAAAACTATTAAAGTAAAATAAGCTAATAAAATTACACCCGAGAAAATCGACAAGTTGGTTCCTAGCGTTAAAATAATTCAATTTATCGATCCGTCAAAATCGTCGACTTAATCTTCATTGATTTAATTGTGATTTTTTATTATGAACATTTTTACTACTACGATTCGTATACGTTTTTTTCTTTTGCAGTATACAAGTTTTCGTCCAAGAATGTTTAGATCACCTATTTCTCAGAAATGTTTTTTATTATTGAATGTTATTATTTTGTTATTTTCTGTCAAAATGAAATATATTGAAAAATATTTCAAACCCTTTCATGAACACTATTTATATTATATGACTGGAAATTATTAAAAAATTTAAATCCATGGTTATTATTAGTGTCTCGGAAGTTATAAGAGCTAAAAATGGCAAAATATATATGCAAATATATACATGAAAAAATGTTATATATGCAAATAATTTATTAATAACAGTTTATTGTTCAAAAACATTTAATTTCATTATTAATATGCACACAAAAGATAAAGATTAAATACAAAACGCACCGTTGTCGTTAAATTAATAATAGATTGAGAAGGTAATAAATAATAACAAATAACTATGTCAAATATTATTGAGTTTTTAAATTTAATACTATTTACAGCTAATTAGTTACGAAAGAAAAAAGAAAATTAATTTTTTTAGAAAATAATAAATATGTATATAAATATGCAAAAATAAATAAAAATCGACGAAATATGCACTTTTTCTCTAAATTTAACGAAATATGCAAAACATGCATTTTAAACATTCAATTTTCATATTATCCATCGTATAGAAAGTATTTCTAGCTTGTTCTGCTCTAAATTCAGTGCATACAGAAAAATATGCAACTCCGATAACTTCCGAGCCCTAGTTATTACCTAAAAACTACACGACAAGAAAAAAAAACAAATGAAAACCGTGACTAAAAATTTCCCTTACATATATGTACATTTAAACATGGAAAAACTTTATACTTATGAATAAATCACTAACAAAAACGCATAAAGGGTATTCGTCGCAAATTAAAATGCATTAGAAGTGATCTACGCCTTCATCATTACGTAAAATGCTTAAGAATGTATGTAATACGTTATTACCATTTTTATTCCCATCATGCATGTATTATTTACATTTTAGCTCGTTTCACATAAGAAAAGTCTTTATCATTTTGTTGTTTTTTTTTTTTTTTGTCAGCCTTGGCGAAAAACAAAATATTGAGTAGAGACGAAAACCTCATAATTGTTACAATAATGATAATGTCAACAATAATCACCGGAACCACAGTGAAAAAATCAATGGAAGAATGTGATAAAATATATTCCAAATTAAAATATCAACTATTCGGACTTCCGTTTATTATTTACCCGTTATTTATCATTTGATAAATTACAATAAATGTTATACTTGTATCACCATACATAATGTGTTATAATACAAAAAAAAAAAAAAAAAACTATAAATTATTACTTAATAAATTCGACTTTAGAATTTAATTATCTCGTTAAATTGCCAACTCGGTAGTCTAATCTTCCAAGTTAAGAGAGAGGGGGCTTACCCCACTGTACACCCATCACCATCTCGTGCCTCGATTGGAATGCATCATATAATTGATATGTCGTCACCCTTGACTTTATTATAGAACATAGAACAATAATAATTATAATATTATCATATAGCTTTCGAATTAAGAAATTAATTCGAGATGACTGTAATGAATGCCACTGCTGCTGATATTATTATGTATAATGACGTAAACAGAAATTCTCCAGTTTCAATCATTTTCTAATAATATTAGATTATAATATTATTATCATATTATATACACAATGCGAATGCCCGTCTCACTCCCAAAGTGTATTATACGCACGCCGCCGCCTCAGTCCTGTTTAATATTGTATTGTCGAAAATGGCTGAACAATACAATAGACGCCAAGTATCGTGCGCGACGTTTGTACAAAATACCCGGTGGCAGCGTTGATTACTTATACTTAATATGAATATATATATATATACAGGGTGATATTTGTACCATCGAACCAACAATTCTCTCGGAGGAATTAAAGTGAATTTGATGTTTTTTTTTTTTTTTTTTTTTTATCACTTTGGAACCGGTTAAGTTTTATTTTAAAAACATTTTTAATTTTTACTCCTACTCTCCGTATACCTTAAATAAGTATTTCCTTTTGATTTTGAAGTTATTATAAATTCCATATATATTTTTAAATGATGAATTGATGAACGATTTATAAAAAAAAAAAAACCGATCTAAAGTATTACGTTATTGGTGTTTTTTTCCTACTACTTTCGGTGGTGAAAAAATTACACACTTTTAGTTTTCAAATAGCAAATAATATTTAAAATGATGTCATAAATAAATAGAGTTTTAATTCAAGTACATTTTGTGTTCAAATTTTCAATTTACGTCAACCGGTTAACAATAGTTTTCCTTTTTTAAGTTTGGATAAAAGGATGCCACGCCACCCCATCAATGATGCTCCACTACTCTTCTCCGAACATAAAAATGGAATATCTTGTTAATGGGTTTGAGTATTTGAGTATTCAATTTATACTGATGGGACAGATACATTCAATAAATTGGTTAATAAGTTACATGAATTGCAAAACGTTTTTGATAGGTACATCTAAATTTGTACCAAATCTGATATACTTTTACAACTTTTAATTTTGTGATAGGTTATGAAGTTATAAATAAAAAGATATTCTTGTATCTTTATTTGGATTGTTATTCAATAGAAGAAATTGAATAACCGTGCTGATTGTGATTTCTTAACGTGTAACGTGTTATTCTATTGAAAGTTGATTTTTTTCACGCCAATTTTCTTTTTAAAGAAATTAAAACGACTATTACTAAGAATCTACTATTGATTGAATATGGTTATATGTTACATTTAAATTTTTAAAACAATACCTTTTTCAAAATAGCTATTTTGAAATTTTTGACAAGTGATAAAATAAAGTTATTTTTTTTTCAATGATTAAGGAATACAGATACAAATTAAATTGTTCTCTACGTTTATTTACCCCTTGCACAAAATTCGATTAAAGAAAAAAATAAATATATTGACAGAATTATTAGCATAAGTATGTAATACCGTACTGTATGACACTCTGTACATACCTACATCAAAATTCTACAGTTATCAATATGACATCATAATATAATAAAACTTTTAAGAGAAAAAACTACAACCATTTCTATACAATCGTATATTATCGACCTAAATCCACTGTTAATTATTATTCTGAAATGGATCAGATCGTCAAGAGACAGAGTTTTCTTATTTTTCGGTTCTTTACACTCTCCAGTCAAAACATGCAATTGGTTCGTGCACATAGCCGGAGGGTTTTCACATGGTTTGCAAATTACATAAACCAATTTGCTATTAATTTGAAAACTGTTCTGCAAGTTTTAAATCGTTCAGATAACTTGGCTGAACTGACTTCACACTGACCTACGTTTCTTGGTTATGAGTTTTTCCCTAGACTTTCGATTGCCGGTCCGCGGGTATACGACTCAGTGGAAAGTATTTTTTTGAGCTCGTCTATCGTGGTGAACCGAATGCCATCCACAATGAGCCAAACTAATAAACAATTGCCGCAGATGATTATTCGAAATTTAACGATCGATACTGTAAAACGGATTAAAAATAAATGGATAGTAGACGGTACACCTTGACTGGCTTGTGCGAAATGATGACCGATTTGTCGGCAGATGTCTGCAGCCGCCGCCCGGTAACGAGCAATTTTACGCCCTTCTGGTCCGTTGATTGGATTTACGCGTCGCTCTACGGAGCCCGAGGCGAGTTATCCCGAGCGGACTTTTCAGCTTTTTCGTTTTAAATAAACACACATCCGAACATGATAATATTATATACTATCGTGCGCTCTTCCGCCTCCCTATTCATCGTTGCCGTCGAGAACCTCCGAGATTTCTCGCTCGTACGATTCGTGTCATTATCCAATCGTACGCATTCGAATAATATTTCAAAACGAAAATAGCTTTTTCATTTTTTTTTTTTTCTTTCTTATCCGGCCTCGTAGCTTGGCAATTACACGGCGCATACACACATGTGAGACGGGTATACGCGAAATTATTATCAAAATAATAATAATAATAATAATAATAATAATAATACACAAACTATGCGACTTGCATGAATAAAATGACGGAAACCGAAGAAAGTACACGCAAAGTCAAAAACAAAAATATAATATAGAAATCGCTCGAGTGATAATTGTGTTTTGGACGGATCAATGCGAACTCGTCGAGTTTGAAAACTCCCGGAGAAACACATAAGTTTCGTTCATCTATAGACACATGCCGGGACTTATCCAGATAATAATTATTACAATTTTATAGGTGTTTTATATTACCTATCCAAATAAAAATTTTTATATTTATCTCAGTGTAGGTTAACTAAGACAAAACAAATATTTATCTTGATATAATCCATCAAAAGAAAATACTACATTTCTACCGATCTAGTAATTTACACCCGTTGCGTTTACACCGTAAGTTATAATAAAAATAAATTTGAATGTAATTTTGTAGATTTTAATTTTAAATGTATCATAAAGTTCATTAAAAACACGTTATTACAAAAAAATAATAAAAATGTTCAATTTTCATTTACGTAAACATTTTCAACCGGATTCTGCTCAGAATCGTTTTTTGTTGGAATTAACGCCTACAAAAGAGGTCTTAACAGTAGCTGTGATATACAAATCATCTACGATTGGTGAGGACTTTTTTTTGGATTACGAACCAGGTGAAGATAATTTGTCATTTGTACAAATAATTATTCTTTTCACTCAAACGGGTTGTTATATAGATTTTTCTAATTATCATCACCGTTTTTTAAATTTTGTTTTTATCTATTGTTACAGTTATTTTTTCTATTATACAAAATAGGTATGAAACATTGTTGTTTTCAAGCTTAAGAAAAATATCTATACAGCAACAACATGCAGAGACGTATTTACATTTTAGACGCCCTGGGGCACTGTTCATTTACTGCCCTTTCATAACTAATCGTTTTACAACACACCGAATTTTCGAGCTGCATACTTTACATTTTGTACTGCACGCCATTTTAAGCCCAGCTGAGCGAATGTAAACTGTGAAATGAATATTTAAAAAAAAAAACTATTATTCTGTCGTGTCTTATAATATTACGACGCCCCTTTGAATTTCAGCACCCAAGGTCAATGTTTTCCTGCCCCAACATCTAAATACGCCCCTAAAAACATAGCACTTTATAAAATAAAATAGAATTTTCAATTTCTTTTGGAAGAAAAAGAACATATTTCGGTAATTTTTATTTTTAACAGATTCTTAAAATATACTGATTATATACTAATAATTAGAGTACGGATTTCATAGCGATAAAAATCTAAAAAAAAGTACTAAAAAAATAGGGCATATTTATGTGTTTATTGTCGTATCAAGGTAAATTAATCCATGATATAACATACGGTTCACATTATCTAAATTATATCGATAAATATATTCATAAATCAAACATAACAACAGATAAAATCGATTGAGCCAGCCATGACCTTGGAATACACTATATAATATTAAAGCTTCAAATGCGTTAATTTAGAACACATTTTAGAAAAATGTAAAATAAAAACAAAATAAAGTACCAAAATACCCAAAAAAGCGTTAATAAATAAAAAAAAGCAAAATAAAACGTCGTGCATTTTATTCTAAGTAGTATAAATCGAATTTGTAGCTGACATAGCTTCGTTTTAGAGCAATAGAAAAAAAAAACAATTGCCTTCAAAGTCCGTACTCTACTAATAATAATTAAATTATGCTAATAATAACAATAAACGCATCGATTCGTCCGTTTTTGTTTACTCGCGTTACGATAACATTGTGTTAAGAATCGTCATAGCGAATCCCTCGAGTTTTACACGTTCGTCTCGTATATTACATTATAAGTAAGTACCTGTATATTTATAAATAGGACTTCGTAATTTCGTAATCATCGTGCGAATTAATTATGTACTATTCGGCATATACCCGCGAAGGCGATGTATCCTGTTTAAATATTTTATTAGATGTTCCAACGACGAAGAAGACGCTAAAAGCCCGCCGCCTCGTCGATTTTATTATGCTAAATGCTCTTTTGCTCAAATAAAAAATTAATAGGTTTTAATAAAGTCGTTCCTTTTAAGTAAAACGCTTGGAATACTAAAGCTTATATTATTTTTTTTTTATATGTATCAAAATATTTTTTACATGATAGAATTCAATATTCGTGCGGCCGTTATGATTTTTTCTCTCTTTCAAATAAAAAATCATCTTTGAAATATACTTCAATTTTCTCCATTATCACAACATATTAGAAATATTGTACAATTTATAGCACACGACTAATTTTGATACAGCTAATAGCGTGCCCGTTGGCAGGTTATAATCTCCTAGCATGACAAATTTATGAACTCGCCACCCCTAATTATTAACTGTTCCTAAACTTTCGATTGTGCCTAAAATAATGAGTGATAAATGCTGATTCCTTTGTTTCACAAAAAAGTTACAGAATATTAAAACTGGTCCGGAGTTGTTCAGACAAATTGCCCGGAAAACTTAATGGACGTTTTATTTAGTAGTATTTGTGCTTAAATAACTTGATGGACAGTGTGTATACATGATCCGTTGCGCAATTTCTTTTTTAAAAGCCTCAACGATACTCTCGCTTACTGTATCAACGATACAGCTGAGAAAATATTATTATTTTAAATTACAGCTGTTAATCATTTTACCGAATAACCGATAAGAAAAAACCGAGTTTCCCCCCCCCTCCCCGTCGTTTTCACTACATATTTTGTCGATAAACGGACGTCCAAAATACACTATTATAACCGAGTTCGCAAATGTTGGTGACGACATCGTCGGAAGTCACGGAAGTTTCAACGCTATATCCGCATAATAATAATAATATTATAATTATGTTATATCGGAATGCTCGCGCGGTACACATAAATTAACTATAGGTATATATAACAGAGACGAATATTTCACCGCACTGAAATACTCCGGCACGTAAATGGGGTTGTTGAGAGTCAAAATTATTATTAGTATTATAATATTATTAGGTATAATATGCGGCCAATAAGTGTGTTACCGAGTTGGCAAAGTTATTCGAGCCGGGTGTAATAATACGAATTATAATGATTATAATATTATAATATCGAACAAAATAACCAAAACGGATATTCGAAAAACGCCAAATACCTACTCATAGTGAAAATGTACAAAACGTGATCGTCAGCAAAACATTTCACATTTGATTTTTTTTTTTTTTTTTTTTTTTTTTTTTTTAAACTCTATTTGTTGATATTGTAATGACGGTTGGCATCGGCGGCAACCGGTTCGAAGCTCTACAATCCATATAGAGGTTTTCGTTCCACAGGACGGTATTTACCATTATGTTTTCTACAATGTACTCGAGCATTCCTTATTGATATGTTAATAAAATAGTATCTCTAAAAAATGTGTCTGTGAAATTATATATTATTAATTTCAAAACGGATACATCGTTTTTATTTCAAGGTTCTCGGGGTTTCAGCGATAAATTCTTTTCGACAAATTTACAACCGAACGTCATTAATATTATATTATATTATTCGCGTTTTATACAACATCTCGTTGGAATGTCGATGAAAAAAAAAAAAACAGCCGGCCGCGATTCGTTTAAATTATTAATATTCGCGCGCCTCTATTTGTGGATTATTAAACTATATATATGCAATGCATAACATACTCACGTGTAAATAAATAATTTTATTTTTTATTTTGGGACATTTCTTCGGCTGCGAATTACACAGTGATCTAGGGTATTATAATATATTTATAATGAAAAATGGTAGGTGCGTTGCATGATATTTTATACGCGTTGTTGGGACTATCTAGATAAAATCGCCTATAAGATAATCTAGATAACAACATAATGTACTATATCTTTAGTCTAAATAAATCCAAAATATCTTATCTATCATTCACGATAATATAGTTGCATGTACACAGTCATAAAACAGTAATCGAATTCAATCACCTGGATCAGCTGGTTTTTAGACTACTATTGCTTGTGTGTGTGGCGGTATGAAAAAATATCAAACGAAGAAATCAGCACTCTTGATATTACACTGGCAAAATGTAAATATACGCGAAGCGTAACGTGTTCAGTTTCTCGTGGACTGGTATATTCAATTCTGTAGACTCCACTCAAACTTTATCATATGAACAACCATATACGATTATTATACATGGTATCTATATAACCGTACATTCATCATCTGATATTTTTGTCTCTTTAATAATCTTTGGTAGATATGCGTACATAAGAGATACCAAGTACATACATTGTATAATCATCTTTCCTTAAATTGTTTTAATCACTTCGGTAGTTCACAAAATATATGTTACGATTGGTAATAGCAAAACGAATGTTTCTTTTTAAAAAAAAAAAAAAAAAAAAAAAGTGGTATAAAACACCCTTACCACTACTATTTTGAATATTTGATAACATGTCGGAATCTGAATAACGTACCAACTTAAAATATTATTTTTTATGAATTCTCTCAATGTACTCTATAATATTATCGTTATTAACTTTTTATTTTACTTTTTTAGTTGACTGAAAACTATCTTTCATCTTTATCGTTTATTATAGTGCTTATACATTATCTTTATCGTTTATCGAGGTAAAAATATTGGTTATCTTTCCCGACGCTGATTATAGATAGGTAATAATTTATAAACGATGGCGAAGAAAAATCAACATATAGAAATCGTCAACGTCCTTATTATTATAAAAAAATATATATATTATACGGATAAAAGCCATAAATTAATCTAAAAGTCAACAGCACGTGGTAGTTTATTTTGTATACAGAGTGTTCACATAAAGCGTGCGCTAGTCATAATGTACATTTTTTCTAAACTCTCTCCCCACCTCCAAAATAAATAAATTAGGTATATTAAGATTTTTTTTGTCGTGATGAATGAATAATAAATAACAATTACAACATTAAACACTCTGCAAAGACGTCTTCACTAGTAAGATACTAATATATTACCCAAAATCTGATAGACATCGTGAAGGATGATAAAACCCACAAAGGATAACCAACATATAAGTATTGATAACATCATAATGTCGTAAATTGACCCAAAAGTCGACGACAGGACTCTCTATATTATTTAGGTTGACTTTATAAACTGTCAAATTTTGATTAGGTTTATAAAATCCATATAAATTGAATGCATTTGTTTTAAACCTATGTATAATATAATGTATATTTTGATGAAGATCGTAAATTATCAAATATAAAAATTCTTTTCACTATGAGAAATAATAATAGTATAAATATAAAATCGTTTAATATGATGGTCATAACTATAGGATTAATAAATCTGGCATTGGTATATTTTTTTTTTCTTTTTCAATGGAAGGTCGTTTATTCCTTATAATTTTCATAATAATTGGATAAACCGAGACAAACTGTCCCTGCAGAAAAGTTTAGAATTATAACAATTTTATTATTCTTGATTATATGTTTTTTTGTCAGGTTAAAATAAATGCAGATAATTGGAATTAACAGTAAGAATACTTAAATTGACATTTTATAGACGCTGCAATATGTTCAAAGCATTTTGGTGATTTATAAATTGTTTATAAGAATTTAACATTTTCTAGTTGTTTTTTTTTGGGTTTTATGTGGATAAAATTGTTTTGGCCGATTTTGTACATTAAACGCGATATTTCTTAATATTATAAAACAGAACATTTATGTATTTTATGTATACATATTATTAATATGTAATTATATATTTCTTCTGAGCAAAAAAAGGAATATTTACTTTCTGATTCACTAAAAGTTTTATAAAATTTTCAAAACAAAAACAATGTATTAAAATATGTATAAGGTGAACACTCGTGAACAAACCACACAAAGGTTTAAATCAAAATGTTATCAAAATGATGTCGAAAACTTCAAAAATATGTAATATAGATTGGTTGCCCGGAGATACAACTTCTACTGTTTTTTTACAGTTTATTTACGTGTATTTTAAGCTAAAAATCCTTACCCCCTGCTCTCTCATCATCACCAATGGAAGATAGTTACTGTCTAAAGAATCTGCTACTGCAGGCTCACAACTTACGTGTAAAAATGGCCTACCCGAGACGCGAATTCATGTGTAATATAATAATATTCTAAATAAATCGTTCTCAAGCAATATCATATTATGTACGCGTTTATCAAAATATTCCCACAAAAAAAAATTTCGGTATATTTTATACGGTTTTAAACCCGCTACCGTATAATAAAAACGGCTAGTGTATGAAGAAAAATCAACTGCATATACACGCGACACCTCCGTTTAAAAATATTATCATATACCGAAAGAGGGCCGTAAATTATTAACGTAAAAGTCAACGGCATACTCGTCTTTGCACGACCGAATTTTTAAACTTGACGACGTTTTGAACGTTTTTTTTTTTTTTTTTAAACTATAAAAACACGATTTTCTTTTCCTCGAGACGTGCATCAGGCACGAACACTGTTCAGGAAAGGGAAACTTCTGCTGCAGATCCAATACATCATTTTTGTTTTTCTCTTTGCGAGTCACTGAAAGGAATTCCATTGTTCTTGCAGCAGCCATCTCGATATACATAGGTACCTATTTATATATACGTTATTAAACGCATCATTTTTCCGCCAAATATTTTTTTCGCTTGCCCAAAATCGATTTATTGCGTATTTAGAAGCGTTTATATTTACTTAGCGGTTTTAATATAATATAAAAACAAACTCTGTTTAGTTTGCAAACTTCCCACCCCGAAACTCGTGGTTTCTCATTATATTATTCTCTTCGCAACCCAATACTAAATAGTATATACTTATATATACAATGCGATTAAAAAAAAAAAAAAAATGTAATATCTCGGTAATAGTTTTAAATTGTTTTATAGTACTACATCGAAAAAAAAATACCATATTGATTTAACGGTTTTGTTTATTTTATATTTTTATTTTGAGGAGAGGGAGAACACTTTTTAATATTATTATATATAATTGAATTTTGGGTTTATGCATGCTGGTATACTAGGCGCATTATAAATTCAGTTAAGTACCTATATACATGTACGGTTTTTTTTTTTCTGTTAAACCATCATGAATCGAGATTTACTGGAAAGTTGTTATTTTTTTGTAAATGACTAACGATATTAGCACGAGTATAAATATTTGAAAGGTATAAAAATGATAATTAAAAGACAAAAAAAAAAAAACAACATGCCATCAGAGATTTAAACAGCATCCTGCAATGGCGTTCGTTGAATAAAAATTTAGGATCGTATATGTCTGCGTTGGGTGTGTAAAAAAATTATGTACGAGAATAAAAGAAAACGAATTGTTAACACGTAAATATTTTATTACGAGAAACGCACACAAACAGAAAATAAAAATTACTCGTTTGACAAAACCAACAGTATATCCTCCGTACGGTATAGTATTTATATACATTAAAGCAAAACTGAACGTTTGCGATGGCGTGTATACATATATATATATATATAAAAATTATTTGCACGGAAAAAACTCCGTACCCGGCGGAAAGGTTGTGTTTGGACAAAATTAGTCAGTTTGACTTAAATTCTAGATTGTACGAGTTTTCGATCGATTGATTAAACAAAATCGCATTAAGGCAAACATGAGTGTACCTATATTAAGGGTTGGTGGATAGTTGGTAAAACACGCACACGCAAGTCGGTTCGTTATGCGGTAGTTTCGATTTACAGACCGTTTTGCATGGTGCGATGTTATAATATGTACGAAAATCGATCTTTTTTTTTTTTTTTTTTTTTACGAAGATTATCTTTTAAATTCCGATTATAGCGAAAATGCTGTTCGATTTATGCAAAATGTGATTTAGATTAGATGATTTTTAGAAATAGATTCTGAACAGAGCGAAGAATGCTTTGGTTTTACAATGATGTTTATTATTATTATTTTTTTTTTTTACTGTGTACGAAAATTCTACCGGATATATTTAAACATTTTTTTTGAAATGATATTTTATCCAGTTGATATTTGAGGAGGTCACTTTTTAATTTTCTAAGTAGTTTTCATAATTGGAAAAATTAAAAAAGAAAACGTAATAATATCGTAAAAATTTACGAAAATAATGCATTTATATTTTCGAGTTTTTTTTTTTTTTTGTGTGTTTAGTTAAAAATGTTCACAGAGACTTGAAATTCCGACAAAAAACTTATATTTGCTTTTTCTAGACTTGGTAAAATTCTAAAAATATTTAAGCGAAGTTTGATCTATTTACTCGGATAGGCATTTTATGTTTGCGAGATTTTTACGTAAGTTTCATTAAATTAGGAAAAGAAGATTATTTAAATAATGATTTAATTTATATCTGTACTTAAGGATAAATAATTGCGATGAATCTTGTATCAAATTCGAAAGTATTCTTATGAAACCAGATAAAGTTTAACTGAATAAAAACTAAAGAAACTGGTAATTTTCTAACATTGCTATAAATTACAATAAAAAAAACACAAACAAAAAAAATGTTACGTTTTCTTCCATTATCTAAAGTATACTACAAGAACAATTTATAAAGATCGTCTCAATTCCAAAAAACTACAAAAAAGCTCTCTCGTCGTTATTGATTGGAGATACTTGATAGGAAAGTTGTTAAGACGAACGGACAAAATAAATATATAGTAAACCCATTGTAGTCTACGTTATTTTAACGCGGTAATACGGTCACTTCTACTCAGAATCGAAAAAGAGATTTTTTTTTTTTTTTCGGAAACCACTCGCGAAAATTATGTTTACAACTTGTCGATTGGTTGAGGATACTATAGATACAATAACAACAACACGGCAACGCGCATAGAGCCGACGATGCACTTCCGGTGTAAGGCGGCGGCTACAACGGAATACATATTATACGTATGGACGATGTAATATTACGAGTATATCCGAAAAAACCGTCTCTTATGTCGTTTCTCTTATAGCTCACCGGCACGGTCGCGGATTAAAACAGCCCTCCTAATCGAATTTCAACGACGACGACGACGACGACGACGACAACGATGAAATGGAATATTATTGATTAAACGAAACCGTTTCTGCAAAACAGAAGGTATTAGGCGTAAAATACGTATATAATAGGCCGCGATAGTTTCTATTTGCAAATTCCATCAATATAAACGAAATGCAATTCGCCGGAACCGTACCATACAGTCTACAAAACGGGATATCGATCGAAGAACGCGTCACATCTCGTATTTGTCAGCGGTCGACGGACCAAAACAATATGGTCTTCGGTAATTATATTGCTGGTAACGGGACGGTAACAAACTAACATACGACGACGGCATACATATTATATACGTAAACACGATCGTGAATCCGGAAATCGCATGTCTGAAGCGTTTCACCGAGTAGATTGGTATAACGGGTACGCGATAGCCGCACACGAAAATCCCCATAATAATAGTGCGATCCGGGGATACGACCGAATGATTGATTAATAAAATAGAACGACAAACCGAAAAGGCAGAGCGACTGCGAACGGGGTTACGGTTTGCCGGCGAAACGTCCGTGTCGCGTGCGAAATATCGTCGAAACTTTATTTATATAAAACGAACCCGTCGGCTATTATTACGCGCTATATTCTCTCCGGAATTTAATATCAGTTGTCTTGGTTGCCCGCCACGTTGTCCCTCACATTATTGTGTATACATAATATATACCAGAATCGTGGACGAAAACGTTCGTCAGAATTTCCACGAGTGAGGGGGGAAGGGAACGAACAAACAAACACGACGACCGACCCGCCGATGTAAACAAATTTCGTTTCCGCAACTCGTATAGTAATCACCTACCCAAGGTGATGGGAAACTTACGAGTATTATGATTTGACGTGGTTTGTGGTGTGATCTTTGATCAGGCTGGTGCGTTTGAAAAATTAACCGGTATTCAAACAAAATTTATCACACGCCGTGATCCGAATTTCGAACTTAGATGCGTATGGAAATAGGACTTCATATTTTACATTGCTTCTTCTCTCTCTAAGGATAATAACATTTTATGGAAATTTGATACCGACTGTTTCATAAGAGTCGTGTATAAGAAGTTTCATGTTTTTAACTGTGCAGTTATCAAAGAACAGGTTCTATACTATTATCTTTTAATGTTTTTTAGTAGAATAACTCAGACATTTTACAATCGAACAATACGTCGACATTTTTATATATATAGTGTAATTGACAATTTACAATAAAAAATATAAGTTCTCATTTTTTTTAAAAAACCAAAGTTTGTATTTCCTCAGGATATTCCTTAAATATTGTGAGAAATCTTAGTATTCAGAATTCGGAAAATCAAAACCTGAATTTATGTAAGATTTAACCAAACAAATTAGATGAGCATCGTTTTAAAATCTCCCTGTACATATGTGTATTCAACTCACCAGACAGAAAGGAAAATGAGGAAACGAGGAAATGTTTGAAAGAAGGATCTGTGCTTAATGAAACGAAAAATAATCTTCGAAGAAGATACAATATAGGACGCTGTATAAAGAGGTAGACTTAGCACCAGTGACCAATGTTTCATTAAAGAATACAAAAACTACAGTGTATTACACGAAATCAAAGACTTTACTAGTATGGGTAAAATATGTTGAGATGATTCTAATGAAATTCAAATATTCGAACCGATATTATTAAACATGACATAAACTTTGGTGACTCAAACTTTGAAAATTCTTACCAGAAGTATTTGGGCAATTCGAATATTGTGCTTTAAAGTGGTGGGCTTTTCTCGAGTTATCAAACCCCTACTGTAATAGTTGCAGAGAAATATGCTTAAATCGTGTACGACCGAAATACCGACGACAAGGATGGTATTAGTTGATGAAAAAATTCAAAATTTAATTTTAGGAACTGCCAATAATGATAATGTTTATAATGATATATAACAGAACTAAAGTCAAATTGTTTATTAAAATTTACGAAAGTTGGGTGACCAGAATTGTATGCAATGGCACCATATAGAACGACAGTATATTTTGGAATGAAAAATCTTGGAAAGATTTTGTAATTTTAACAGGCAAAATCTGGGGAATAGTAAAAACAGCCAACAGGTAAAATTTAAAGTGACTTTTTTTTTTTGTACATTTTAAAAAAGAAAATACTTTTAAAAATACACAATGAAACATTTTTAAATGTTCTTAAATTGATTTAAGAATTGTGAGTACATATTATTCAACGAAAATGCGGATTTTTAAAAAGTATGACATTTTCAAATGTTAACTGAGCTACCCTCATTCAAAATTGATTGTTTTATGTGTGATAGAGATGAAATCTTGTGAAGTAACAGTTTCATTAAGAAGTCATACCCGCATATGCTGTCTCAGTTCAACTATATAGCATATATAGTGAAATTTACCTAACGCAGATTGCTTAAACTCACTTAATTTTGGTTTTAGAATAAAATAACCTTTTATACAATTTAAAAAAGACAATATTCTGGAAGACAAGACGATGCGTTTTTTCCTATTATTCTAATTAGTATTCCGAATATAACGTTGAATATATAGTTTATCGATAAATACTAAATCATTATTTTTAAACAACTGTTACAATTTAAAAAAGAAACGCATCGTCGTGCTCTCCAAAATAATGTCTTCTTTTAATTTTATAAAGGTGATTTTAATTTAAAACTGAAATTCAGCGAGTTCTACGCACACTACTTAAGGTAAATTTTACTATATTACCTGTTAGTTAAACTGAGACAGCATATGTGTGTATAATGTTCTCTGAAAGAAACTCTTAAGACGGAAATCTCGAAATATTTTAGAAAAAATGTAAAAAATAAAGAATTTTTTCAAATTACGCCATTTAAATGTTATCCGTAACCAGATTTTGAAATTCCAATATTCGCCAATCCAGATTTGTTCTGTTAAAATTTTAAAATCAAAATGTATCCAGTTTGTGCGATTCCAGATAATGTTTTGCGTCCCGACAGTTTAATCACGTGACCAAAAAGAATAGGACCGATTTTCCCCTAAACAAATAAACGATACTCAATTTAAGCGTACTCAGTATTTATTTTTACAAATGTCGTCGTTCGGGTAATCCGAGTATTAAAAACAGTACGCGTCTGGCGAGCGATCGAGTAATTCGAGTGTTTAAAACGAGATCGACGGCTATAATATTCTCGTATATTACGTGTATGTTTTTTTCTATTATAAACCATAAACGAAAATAGATTACGTCATGTCGATAATAATACATTATAAAAAAGTTGAATATTAAATCCTCGAAAACGAGACGAAATAAGAGTACAAAAAAACAAATATTGTCCCAAAATTGCATGTAAGTTCTCGTGTATATATACGAAATAGCTTTGAATTTTCAAAATAAATACTGATAACTAAACAAAATCTATAAAATCAACAATAAATATTATTTACCATAACGTTATTACAATACTTACAATATACGTATACAATACAATTACAATACTTACTTACGCTATTACAACAATATTCAATATGTCATTTTGAATATATTGGGCTCACAAGCCGTCATTGAAAGAGAAAGAATAAATTATTTTTAAGGACAAGAAATGTTAAGGTTCAAGAAATACAGGACGTCCTCGTATAGCAGATTAAACGACTTCATCAAAATTCTACCGGGAATCAGTTTGGTGACAGAAATCTTGTGAAACATAGAAGATCGAGAAGTTTGTGAAAATATTGTAAATTATACGGTTGATAGTATGCTTGTTTAAACGGTGAAGAAGATCGAAATCCAACAACTATAGAAGAAGAAGATACAATTTATCTGAAAAACTATAAAATTACGAAATTTTACAAACGTTTTCTTTGACAAATTCAATGTTTGTACTCGAACATTTCACCGATAGTTTTCGAAAACCGTTACTGTATAATGATATTATGATAAAAGATTACGAAAAAAAAGTAATTACAACGATTCCGTCCACGCACACGACACGCAGGTACCTACCTATTCGACCCGTTTGACAAATAAGAGGACTAGGTATATACGAGTTCGCCTCGATAGATTTTCCAAGACCGAGCTGCTCGTTGACTTTGTGTTTTCGTGATTTATATAATAATATAAGTATAAGATAGTGGATATTACCTCTCGACGTGTAATGGCCGCGCCGGGAGTCGTTTCGTCGGTCGTAAAAATGATATAAACATAATAAAATATCTTCCGTATCTTCGGTGTGTATCGTACAATAATAATTGTTTTCGTGTTTCGTTCACGTAATAACCGCAAAAAAAACATGTCTTTTAACCATCATCGTAATTTTTTTTTCGTCGCCCCGAATAATCGTTAAATTAAATTCCCGTCCAGTTTTATTGTGTTGTTGCTCTAACGCCAAGGCTTTTAAAAAACCCTAAAAAAAAAAAATGTTCGTATATTTTGAAATTGCCACATCTGGTTACAATAAATAAAAACATTATTGTCTGTCATTCAGAGACGGAAATATCGCAAAAGTAAAAATATGTTTATCACGTTCACCGTGAAAACTCGGACGTTTTAAAAAAAAAAATACGAAATTGTAGATCTACTGCAGTTTACTGTACATAAAACACTTACTAACCTTACTATTTTTACATCTCAAAAACTTTGTTATTTCTTCATTTTCGGTCGCGATAGTATAATATTTTACGTATTATTTTTAATTAAAAACTGTCAATAAAATATAAATTATTATTGTTACCCGACGACACCATATATAGATAAATCTATACAAATCATATTAAACGTTTGAGTGCACTCCGTGTTTATTAAAATATAAATCAGAAGAGCACTCGATTATAATATCATTATTATTTCAGCGTGAAATTGAAAATTCTATTAGTTTGTAAGCAGTGGCATAATTAGAAATTTTCTCCGAAGAGAGGGGAGATATATTTTTAGTAAACCAATCTGTTTTTAAGTATTAAATAAATATATTCATTAAAGGCTGTTTAACAAAGTTCACCAATAGCTGACCATTTTTTCCACCAACTTAAACAAAACTCGAAAAAAATTGAATTTCAAAGCCATTTGTACAGAAACCGCAGTTCACGCCGTTCATTTTAATATAAAAAAATAATTTAAAAGCTGTAGGTACACGCAAACTCATAAATACTTAAAGAAATAATTAACTTATTTGAAATTCAAACCTGAAATCAAATACAAATTATAGAAAAACAAATAATTATTGTGTGTAGTATACTACTTAATTGAAAAAGGCAACCTTAGCAGGTTGTTTATCAGCGTTACACAAATTATTTTAACGACTAAAGAAACCAATATCATTACAGTGATTAAGTGGTAGTGCGTTTACTCCGTTACACTTAGTTTCATTCGTCATTCTTATAAATGTATTTACAGTAAAATATAAATAAATAGGTTATTTAATGTGCATACGGAATTCCATCACATTCATCGTGTATTATTTTTTAATTTTTTTTCATGTGAAACGAGAATCTGTTTTATTCTCAATTTTAAAATAATCACCAATATAAAACCGACATTAGAAATATGTATTAAATAGTAACATAAAAACAATTAGTAAAAGTAATAATTGTTAATTAAGATTAATAATAATAACGTACTCATGGCACAGTGGCGTAACTAGAGATTTATTTATTTTTTTTTTTTGGGGGGGGGAGGATCAGTAATCACATAATTAAATTAACACTTTATTAATTGCGGAAGAAAAATTAATACAGTTCCTCTAAATAACGGACACTTTCTTTATTTAAATAGCGGATACCCCAAAACAGTGGTGGCGTAAAGTATTTTTACCTTGAATCACCTAATTAATTTTCCACTCGCCACCTTCCTACCGCACCCAAAAGTATCACCACTCACAGAATCTCACAGAAATTGAAAATAAATCGCATATAAATAAAATGCAAACGAGACGATAAAATACACGGATTTACGCGGAGTCTCGACAGCGATAACAGAAAGTTTTCGGAAAATATTAAATTAACCGATCGGCGACGACGCGACAAACGTAACGAGTATCGAACATTATTGTTTTCCGAATAAAACAACCACTGTAAAATAACCGAAATCGATTTCTTTACCGATAGACGCGCATTCGTATCATAAATTACTGTTTTTCTTGGCATTCCTCTGCAAAACTTTCGGCGAACACGATCATAAGCTGCGACCCGATCTTGACTCTCTCTCACTCTCTCTCTCTCTCTCTCTCTCTCTCTCTCGTTCTCTATTAAACGCTGCTGCGAACTCGTCCGATGTATATATGAATATTATTATGTGTGTATCGGCCGGAAATTTTAAGTTTATAGGCTAACAATATCCAAACAACCATACGCTGGCGAAAAAATCTCGAAAGAGACGTCAATAAGCTGTTAAAAATACGTTCTTTTAAACACGTTTATCAAAAAACACACAGGAGTTCTCGAAGTGTTGTATTTGTTCTCGAATATGATCGTTGTCGTTTCATATTTTTTTAGTAGATTCGATATGTTAGTGCTAATTAGCAAATAATGTCAATTGCCATAACACAAACTTTAAATGTGTAAACAAATAACAGTGGTGGCTTCAGGAAGTCAATAGGATAATTTACCCCATCCAAAGAAAAAAATTTAAAAACCATTGTAATATACGTATAATATATTCGTATGGCTTGGTAAATACACATTAACAATAATAATAGTAATAATATTAAATTTAGGGTGTAACGATAAATCGCTTCCTAGCAATGCACCCCGGGCAACGTTCTTGACGGCTAAAGATTTACTACCACTGCCGGCTTCCGTACTATTCTCGTGAATCTCACAAATATCAACACACTTACAATGCACCGTAGTATGTTAATATGCTTTTATAAAATTTTGATGAAAAAAATTATACTAAAAAACGATATTTCATTGTTGTAAATGGCTCCCCTCTTCCCTCCCACCAAAAAAAAAAAAAAAAATTATAAATTAATCTGGATTGATCTTAAAAAAAACAAATTGTAGCCCGGATTATTAATGTTTACTCGTCTTTATACAGTTATTGAGGGGACGAGGAATTTTCGATAAGTTCAATTTACAAGGACGAATTTGCCAAAAAAAAAAAAAAAACAAATTAATACTTATTAAATAAGCAGTAAATATAAAATTATATTTTAAATATAATTTATATAAATTAAATACTTCCTTTGAGCACTGACAAAACGCACTACCTAATAAACGTTCCTGTCACGCGATTGAAGACCTAAGATCCGCATTGTGTTTATAGACAAAAAAAAAAATTAAGCTTCGTCACAGCGATTTTTTTGCTTTGTAATAGCAACAGAAAAACATACACGGAAATGTATACGTCGAACCCATTTGTTGTTTTGTCCAACTCTAATCCACGGAAATGATATGAATAACGTTAGATAATATTGTTAAAACAAGCGTTAAACCCTTTGTAGCCCGCTCGGTGGCCCGGCCAAAATTTTGTGCCACTGCCGCGTAATTTTGACGTGCGCTCTCGATAAAACTCGCGGACAATGATTGAATTTAACATTTAACATTTTGCATTAACATTTATATGGGAAAAGTTTTACGAAACATATACTGGTATATCGAACGATAACGATGAGGTGCGTGTCGCGCGCACAAAAGACTAACGGCGACAAAGAAATAATAGTCTATGGCCATTGCGGATACAACTAGTTTGTATCTACTGTCTACACAGGTTTTTGTGTAACAATCATCCATTATAGCACAAAACTAAAACACGATTTGCACTCATATAAATACTGTGAATCTGTTGCTCGTATAATTTGCTGATTATAAAATGCGAAAATAAAAAAATTTAAATTTGCATTGTTCGATTCTAAACAACGTTTCAAAAAAAGACAGACATGCTGGTATAGATAACAAGTGAGGAAGATAGTAGATGGGAAATTTAATGTTTATCTGCAAGCAACGTTGCACCATTGCTAACGAAAAAAATGATTTTTAGCGGAGTTCAGTTAATATCGATGCATTGTCAACAATATATGTGTCGTATTATGGTAAAATAATTAAATAGGCATTATATTTTTTTCTTTAATAATATTTGTTTAATATTGTATCTATATTCCCGTTTATCCTACTGTTTTCCCGGTTTCCCATGTTTTTCTCAGTTTTTCATATTTATTGAAGAAACTCTTGAGAAAATCGAAAAACGACCTCTTTAAAGTACTTTCCTAGTCCGATTTCCATTCAGAGAGGGTTACAATTTAAAATCAGAGCAATATTTTTGGTAGAAAAGTTGTTTACAGATAAAAAAAAAAAAGTAAAGGAATAAACAGCTTTGTAGAATGATGTAAAATGCATCCTTCGCTCCGTTCAGAATCTAGAATTTAACAATTTTTTTATGAATTTTGTATTGTAATTGGTAAAAAAAAAAAAAAATAAATTAAACAATTTTGGACCATTTATATTCAATAGCTATCAAATCCTACTTATTAAATAAGTGTAACCTACCAAGTCTAATAATCCAACGAGTGTATATAGAAACTTATTATGGTACGCAAGCGATGGCAATTATAAAACATTTCATTCATAAATAATGAAGTACTTGATTTTATTAAGATAATAATATTATGTAGTAAAATAGAATATGTACATAACGTTAGATTTTTCCACAATTTAAACTAAAATATAATGCACTGATGCACTATAAACTTACATAAACGAATCAGATACAAATAAAATACGTTTTTTAACAAATTTCGGTGGTCTAAAGTACTTGAAGAAGGTCACTCGGATGTCGGAACAAAATAAATAAATCAAATAAATAAAGCAAAGTTCAGCCAATAAAGCAAACAAGTTTAACCGGATACTGAGTTTTCACGCAGAGTTCTACAATTATAAATTTCGTTTCTAATAACGAATTTAACCTAACCTAACCTAACCTAACCTAACCTAACGGAAATCTGTTACTTCCGCGTATTTTAATTTTGTAACGATATTTTTTATGGCATTTTACTTGAATTGTCAACAAATTCTTCGGGAATTTTCTTTGCACACAAACGAGCCATCGAGTGTTACTGCTGGTTCAACAATATTTTAATGAACGCAAACAAGATTCACCGAAGGCAGAGTTCTACAGTTATAAAAAGGTGTGAATTTACGTGGCTGTTTGATGCAAAAACTTCAAGGTACCTACATAACATTATAATTATAAAAAATATAACAAAGTGGTAAATTGAACAGCCTTTTATGTATATGATAGTCTATTTGTTTTTAATTTGTATACGAGATTAAAGGAGCTGCATCGTAAAACATAGTTTAGGTGATAAAACAACATGGTACGAGATGCGTAGTATTATAAAAACGGTGTCATTTTGTACTATTTCTTTTGCTTTTATCCGTAAAAAACACGAGATGCAAACTGTTTGAAAATGAAAGTCGATAAAAAAGTTTTTATTCCATATAACAAGTTGTACTAACCAAGTTGTTACTTACCCAAAAAGTTATTGATCTTCATTATAACGGTGTTTAATTTTATTTAGGAAATTTAAATATTTAGACACACGCAGTTTTTCAATAATGTTGTTATATTATTATTATTTTATCCTCTTGATGGATAAATTGTAAGTGTTTTATTTTTAAAAATACGCCACAAAAACGCGAAGTTTTTAATATTAAAATTTAATAATTTAGTCATTGCAATTTTGAATTTTTGAATTTTCATCTACGAGTTGACGATTTCTGTTATTAACCATTTAGGCCTTTTGGGAAACTCGGAAAATGTTAACATTTTTTTTTTTAAATGAATGCGTAGTGAAAGAGAAAAAACTTCCTGTATTATTATCGCATCGTATTTTTGTAGTCCGTCGATAACGAACGCCGGTCGAATGGCATTCTATTTTGCTAGTGCAGGAAGACCAAAAGGTTTAGAAATATAAACGGGTTTTCATTTTTAATTAACTATCTGGAAAACGGCTATAAAATAGGACTTCAAACGACTTATTGAAAGCAAAAAAAAATCGGACAAAACGTAATTATTTTTTTGTAATGTATAACCTTAAAGGTACATCTGGTTTTCATGGTATAACGTTTATCTGCAAAAATTGAATTCCACCGCACACAACTAATGCATTTTATATACGAGAACAAAAAAAAATAGCGTTTTGACGTTCAGTGCCTTTTTATTTTGTTTTTTGTGCCTTTTTCGAACAAGGACGTAAATGTTTTGAATATGACGAGATTTTGTTTGTAATTTTTTTTCTACTTACATCGCTTCATTATTATTCGCAGCTAAACGTACACTATTTTTTAGATGATACCCATCGAATGTTTTATTGTCAATAATATAATGTATTATACTGTAGAACGAATTTCAATTGCTAAGGCGATTTTTGACGCTTTTCTTTTTCTCAGGGAGAACAACGACTTTTATTATTAACACAATAATAAAATATCAACCTCACTATATAATATTATATACACGACAAAAGAATCGGGTACGAAATGGTTTTAGTTTTACCGCAAGGTGTATATTCAATTAAATATACTAAAAATCAATCTAAAGTGGATATTTTTGTTTAACTTTAAATCAAAACGTATCCTGATTGGTTTGAGAATTGGTTAAATTGGGTGAAGTTAGATTATGTTGTGCTAAATAGTTTAGTTGGATTCATTTAAATTTCTTCGGTTAGGTAAGGTTAGGTTATTTTCGAATCCCATTCACATTGGGAAAATCGAACGATTCGTAACTTATAGTATTATCACTTAATCAGTTAAATATAATAGAACACAAATGAGAGTTACGTTACATTGTAATATTCAATAAAATATCAAACATGAAAAATGAACAAAACAAATGGTATTGTTAAGGTTGTGTTTTAATACGACCGGTTTTGATTTTAAAAATCATTATCGGGTAATATTGTGCAGACCAATTAAGGCGAAAAAAACGTAATAATTTCTTCGCCCCCGCTGCACTGTTCGCATTAATTTATTTATTTGTATATATAAATATGCATACGATACATTTATTGATAAATAATAATATCCCAAATAACAGAGACAAAAGATCAATTATCGTATTATGTCGTATAGCGGCGAACGCCGTCCGCAACCGTAGGATTACCATTCTGTATAATGCGTCGTGAATTCCATATTCGTACGGCCGCACTATTAATAATTGTTATTTTCGGTCTGGAATACTTGTCGGTCAAACAGGGTTTTCAAAACCTATGTACACACAATACGTTTAGTGGGTCCTCCGTGCGTGTATAACCAGAATATTATTATATTATAACCGATCACGCGCGCCGCCGAACAATATTATTATTATTATTATATTATATCCGTTGGATATTTTATTTCCGACTCGGTTGTTCACGGGAACCTTTCTGGTATTCGCGCTCGTCACGGCCAAAACTGTTATCGTCCATGCCAACGTCCCGATACAATACACGCCGGTCATTTTGTTCACGGTAATTTTCGCTCTCTAAAAAAAAAAAAGCTCGAGAATCAAAACAATAATATTATCATCGTGCGAAATAAGCCATCTTAGTACCGGTGGTCTGTTCGGTATGTCCCGTACGATCCACTCGGTATTTATCGCGTGTGTAACATTACTGAGTTGTCGGCTGTATGATTGAGTCCCGTCAGAGGTGTGTAGAATTTTACAATTACATCACATACATAATTGAAACGTTTGTCTCGAGTACCGAGTGTCATAATAATCGTGCACAACGGGCCGAGAGTGATAGACTGACGACAAATCATAATTGACCGGGTCGTGAGTGAGAAAAAACTTTGATTCCGAAGAAAGCCAATTAAATGGCTGCGTTTTATTTTCATGTACTCGTGAAAAGTTCCACTGACTTTCACGCGTTTTCACACTGAATGCACCGTCTAAAATCTTAATTCACTTATAAAATATTTTATGATGACTATGAATTATGTTAGCTATAAAAATAAATTGTATAAACACGATAGATACAATATCAATTGTTTTTCATATTATAACACATTATAATTCATAGCGTAAACAAATACTTCACGGGTTTATCTATACACTTTCCCGCTGCCAATACTGGCTGTATGTAAAGTTTTCATGAGAACACAGCTACTCATAGAGTCAGCTATCTAAAGCTTTTCCATTTAACTTGGATACTTGGTCAAAACAAAATTATTTTGTTTATAAAATAGGTACGTAAGCTAAAAATTGGTAAAACAAAATATCATCATTTACCTTTGATATAATGGACTACAAAAAAAAAGGCAACCAAACGCTGATTTGCACAGCTTTTATAATTTTTTTTCTTTTTTGTCCATTTTTAAACGTAAGCTTTTATTTTTCTGATCACACCCATCCCGTGTGAAAAATACATAGTACAACCTCCGTTAAGTATGCATCTTTATAGTTAGTAATTTATATTTTCTATACAAACTGTGACGCCATCGATAACAAGAATACTGCAATTTAAACAGTTATTTAAAAAACAGCTGTTTGACGTAACAATAAATTGCAATGGGGCGTGAAAACGTCTCGTTCTCTTCACGCACGGACTTGTTAAATTACTAGCAACGTTTTATATAGTTACACGCGCAGAAAACTTATATCATTGCCAATTGGATATTTTGGAGTCCGATAGACCTAGGTCTTATTGTCAACGTCATTGTACAGATTTCGTCAAAAATTATTGTTGTCTTTGGAAAGTAGTCACCGCCGATAGTCTAGAAGAAACGAATTCAAATAATGATTTGATTTTTTTTTTTTTCAGCAAACGCTATAATATTCACTATCCTGTTTTCCTTGTGGAAGAAAGCTGGGAAGATCGAGATACAGAGATCATATTTTTTTTTTCTTTCTTAAATACCGAAAGCAACGATAAATCACTGTCACGTTTAAAAAACAAATAACAAAATATTAAAAACGAAAAAAATAAAACGAATATTAAAATAATATTTTATCATTTTAGTTGTGTGTGATTTAAACACTCGGTGACGCTGTAAACCTTAAAAAATCTCATATTTTGAATGTTTTTGACGTATCATAACCTTTTGTTTACGTTACTTTATAATTACGCCAACACCACTGTAGTTGAATTTTCTACCGATTTTCGCAACAATCCTCGGAAACGTTGTCGCTTTTATCGGCTCACCCTGTATATTATTCGCGCAAATCTGGCGGGTTTCCCCTCTCGCTTAGCGCTCACCTTATTCGTGGAATATCACATCAATTTCTGGGGTATTATATCGTATATGGGATTATAATAATTATTGCATTAAAAAGGGATATTGCGGGTTTGGTCCGGGTGGTAGCAGATGCGGCCAATAACAATACCAGCGATTGTTTTGGAAACGATCGACGATTCGGCAGATTTTCGCATAGTCCACAAAAAAAAAAAAAAACTAAATTAAAAAACACCCTATGCATGGAATCTGACCCGAGTTTACGACTCGAGACCGCCTGCGATACTCATGCACTTGGATTTAAAACCGATTCTGGAAATAATGCAAAACCCGATCGTTTTCAAAGTGCATGAAAATTTCGATTACCATTTAAACAATACATAATTTCGACCAGATAAAACAGGAACTCAAAAATCGAGCATCCCGTCTCGAATACCACCACATTTCACTATCGATGAATTTGATTTTGGAATCCACGCACGAATTCATCAGGAGTGTTTATTTGTCTTCGATTGAACGAATCGCAATGATGAAACCTTTTTCAATCCACCCCACTTTTCTCCTCCCTCGTGATAAAATCGCAAACACGACACCACGTCTAAGACGAACATATTTTTATATTCGACACCATAAGGATTTCACAGCTCACGGTCTTACAAATAATGAGTTTCAGGAAAAACATGTTTTTTGTACCGGTAAAAATACGCTCTGAAAGTTTCGATTTCTAGAGCAGGTGCAACGGTGTATTCAGACGCGGAGATGTATTTCTATATTATGATAAGTTCAGCACCCCCGAAAATCCGAAAAAATAACACCGAGCACATATAAGTCGAACGTGACGAAAGATATCTGTATTTATAGGAACCACGCTTTTCGAAAGCAACACTATTATTATATATCGACCGATTTATTTTATTTTTTAATAAAATCTACCCTCGGCATATACCATTTTTTTTTTTTTTTTTTTTTTTTTTTTTTTTGTATTCGATATTTTTATTATTATTACTATTTTTTTTTTTTTTAATAACAAACAAACATTATTATTATGTTTGGGACAAAACCCAACGTACCGATAATAATTCAATTCACCAACGTAAACGGCGTGTTTCGTCATATAATATGATTCTTATATTGTATAGTAGAACCGATGTCGAAGAAAATTTAATCATTTTGTAATCTAAGAAATTTTTTTCGGGCAAAGGAAAAGCGATTGCATCTCGATTACACGTTTAAGCCGATCCTCGAAACTGAGTGGGAATGTAACGAGGTGAATAGGAAACAGATACCTGCATATCTAAAAATAGCTATTCACAATAATACAATACTTCAAGTTCTCGAAAATTATCGTATGGTACGAGATTATGAGTATACTTAGTGAAAAAAAATTTACTATAGTTTTACTCAAATATATTCTCGGAAAACACGGTTTTGGTCAGTAATATAATACTCCGTGCGGATTTTTACCTGATGGTGCCAGCTTATTCTATAACCGTATAGAGTCTTTGATCAGATTTATTTTACATTGTCAATAATTTATCATTGCTTATAATATACAAACTGAATTTCCCACACAATATATTATCCTATACCTACCCGACTTTCTATCTATATCAGTACCCTACTCACGGTCAGTCAGTGTTGGTATGGTCTATTATAATTAAATAATAATTTAAATTATAAATTTTTTAAATTATAATATTAATTAATCTTTTTTAAACAAACATTTTTGTCATGGAAACGCATTGTACACAACATTGTTGTAATCGTTTTACCATAATATGGTATATATATTGTTGGTAAAGCAACACTATCAACTGAACTTTGCTCAGAATCGTTTTTTGTTGGCGATAATTTATCGTTACTTACAGATATACATTAAATTCCCGTCTGTATCCTATCTTCCCAATTTTCCGCATCTACAACAGTGACTGTGCGAAGTATGTCCGTCCTTTTTTATCTTTATACAACTTTTTATTTATTTTTGATAAATATCTAGATGATATCATTCATCAATTATATATTTTTATGTATGTTTTTTTTAATCACAAACTACCTTGTTGATTAACAAACATTACAACATTATAACTTATTTTTAAAATAATATATTAAACACACCACACGTTCTTCAGTATACCGAAGCCCATTGCTGTTACATTTCTAAATACGTTATCTTTTATCTTGTCTGGATAAATATTTCCAAATTATTTAAATATTTACCTTATATTAATTTATCCAGATAAATCATTCCGTATAGATGTAGTATTTCAAGGTTTGACATTTATGAGTTTAAAACGCTAATGTTAATTAAATAATAAGTTTAACTAGTTACAATATAAATAATTTCTACGCCAATTCCAGAGTCCGATTTAAGGGTGAATTTTTTCGTGTAAAAAACTCCCTCTCCGCTCCAAATCTGAAAGTGTTATTTTATATAAATAAGAAAATTTAACTTCATCACAGATGTTTGTGTATTACATATTGGTTTGACAATTTATTTATTCTTAACTTATAATAGAATTGTAAATTATATAATTGTTTTTAAAAATGTATCTAATCTATACCTAAATAATTATAGTTATTCGTGTCTATAACCTATACTTATTTTGAATATTTTAAAAATGTTTAATAATCATACGTTTTTAGTCTGAATCATTCCTACATTTACTTAAAATATTACTTTTATGAATTATAGTAAAATAATAAAAATGTGTGTGTGTGTGTGTGTATTATAACTGAAAACATTCTTTTATCATTATCAAAAATAAATATTTACCTAGTTATTATATTTTATCTAGTTTAAAATGTCAGTATCTTTCCTGAAATCGTTGGGCTACGGTACACAGTATATCCGGATAATTATGGCAATAATAATACGACATTTTTTATAAGGAATACTTCCGGATCAACGGATTTCCGCACGCGCTTTTATACAACACGCCGTCAAGTTCCCACCGTCGCCGAATCGAAAAACGGGCGAACGATAATTATTTTTTCGGGCCTTTCATCGAGACGGAAGCGCCAGACGAACGTTCGCAACGTTTTCAGTTTACAACAATTAACCTTAAAATATTTCCAGTAGGTATTATATAATATATAACCTTCTTTTATTATTATTAATTTCGGTTTAACGAGACGGTTATTTTGCAAATGACATTCAATTACGCGTACGCGCTGTCGTCGTCATCGTCAAGCTTGGTATAATTCAATTACCTACCTACCAACGTAATAACTTTTGAAAATTCGTTTAGATTTTTTACCGATGTTGTTCTTTGAGTTTTGTAGAATTTTTTTTATAAGTACAAAAAAATAAAATCATAAAAGAACGCGGAATCGAATATGAATATTATTATTATTTATTATAATTAAAAAAAAAAAAACTCCCGGTATAATATATACGAGAATGCGAATAGACTTTCAAGATGTCTAAAAAACAAAAAAAACAAAAAATCATAATATGTCATACAAAACGAAGAAACATCCGTCGTCCGATGTACTTTTCTTTTTTCTTTTTTTTGTTCCTAAAACACAATAGCCCTGCAAAGTCTTATCGCTATCAAATATTATGTATGCATGTTGCATGTATTATACTGACTGTGCAAAATCGGTTTTAAAATATTACATTTTTTTTAATTAAAAAAAAAGTAATATATAGTTTTCACATCCTTCTTTTTACCCGAGTAACTCATATACAACCCCAGAGGCGAACTCGGCGTGATTCCTTAATTTCGGACGGTATAAGATACATAAACATTTTCTATTTTCTATATTATATTATTGTGATACCAGAAAACATTAATAGAAAATTCAAATTTGAAAAAACCATTCGTTAATATCATTTCGAACCCGTACATTTTTTTAGATTCTAAATTTAGCGAAGAATGTATTGGTTTTACAAAGATGTTTATTTTTTTTTTATGTGAACACTTTTTCTCTCAGAAAGCTTACTCCGATTGTCAAGTACAATAATAATACAGCATTACTGTCAAAAACGAAGATGATCGAAATTCATTAACACGGCATTAATAATCACAAATAGTATCAAAAGAACAAGTGAACAATTTTTACTGGTAAATTTGGCAATAAGCATCAACGTCTCGTTAAGAGTAAATTTTTTTTTTTTCATGATGAAATAATTTAAAACTATTATAGTAAAGTATTAGTATCTATGGTCAATTATACGTTTTTCAGACATTTTTCAAGATAGATGGGACAAAAAAATGATTTTTTTCAAATTACGGCACAATGATTTTATTATTTTAAATTTTTACGCTTTTGTTTACATCAGAAATACTGATCCAATAGAAAATCGAGAAGAGACCTTTTTTCGTTAAATTATTAATTTAATTAATTAGAAAGCAATTGGTTCTTTTACTTTCCCTGTAGTCTTTTTAAATAATTAAGAAAAACTGAGAAAAAAAAATGTAAAATGAAAACTGTCAAATTTATGGCATTCCGATTTTATTATTTTAAATTTTAGATTCTAAGTGTAGTGAAAAATGTATTGGTTTTAGAAAAATATTTATTTTTTCTTCTTTTTTTTACCATTTACTTCAATTCTACCAGAAATCTTGCTCCGATATATACGATGCAGACCTTTTTCTGAAACAAAATTTTCTTAGACTGGTATTTTAGGGAGATCAAGGGGGAAAACGGGAAAATGTACGAAATATATAGTAAAATATTACGATTTTTATTTTTTATAGACCTATGAATTATTTTTATACATATTTTTATTTAAAGTATTACGTTGAAATGTATATCGATGAAATTACTTTTCTGAATTGTCAGAGTGTTAAAACTTCCTGTTTCGTTTCTTTGGCTATGTTTAAAATTTAACACTCTTCAATTCAAAATTTTAGTTTAGCCACTGGTTCAAATAAAAACACGAAACAATGTTTATTTATTAGGTTATTGTTTCATTGTTTGACTTTATAAATTGAAATCTCCTGGCCTGATTTTGAATCTATCATTGCTCCTGGTAGTGTAAAAAGTAGGATATATACCTACCCTATATAATACATAGCTTATATAAATCTATCTGCTTATACGCTCTCATGCTTGAAATCCTTAAATGAAATCACATTTTAAAACAAATAAAGATTCATAAACCTATGAATTATGTAGGTATAGAGATATGTAGTCATATACGCTGGATTGAGCATGTAAATCTAGTTTAAAATAAAGTCAGGAAAATGTCCTATACATTTACATAGCTTCGAAACATTTCAGATAAGATAAAACTTCTCGTAGCTTATAGAACTATCATTGGACCCATTATATCGTACGAAATCATTGGTTGGGGTGGGGCTTTTAAAAACGTTCGAATGGCATCACAAACAAATCGAAATCGTCTGTTAAAATTTGCTCTTAATAAGGATTGATTAACGCACACAATTGAATTATTCAAAAATGTCTGTATACTAACAGTTAAAAAACTTTTTTACGAAGTTATCGCAACTTATCTTAACAAAAATAAATTACTTATAAACACTCGGCACATAATATCATCACAAGATTAGCAATAAAATATTTTATACGTGATAGTAACTATAAAACGATAACTGAAATGCAAATCGAAATTCCTAACTTGTTGCCATAAACTTTATTGAGTTCAAATCGTAATTCTTTTAATATCGGTAAAGCCTATTGACTAGGTTTGACAAATTTTCAGTGTACCTAGTATAATGCATTGAAAAATAATAATAGTTCATTTAAATAAACTAGACTAATATTGTCATTTATTTAGTTAGATCATCCGTGGTTATATAGTTAGATCATATGGTTGTATAATGTATGTGTTGTATAAACTAAATTAGATTCCTAAATTAGGCCCCCATATCAGAGTGGGGCCTAGTATTCTTTTATTACGAGAAAAATAAAATATTATATTATTATTACCATATTATGGTAATTCATTTTAATAAACCGTATGCAACGATAAAGTATTGCAAATAAAAAAATGATTCTGAGTGGAGGAGTACCTATTATTTGTGTGTTTTTCCACTATAGATATAATAGGTAATACAGAAATAATAATTTGAAAAAACTTAAACAATTTCCTAGGGGTTCAACTGTTTAAAATTACGATAAATGTTTCGAATAAAGTACAGCCATTGTGTTTTCGAAAAAAAAAAAACCATTTTATAAATTATAAATTTAAATAAAACTATTAAATATTTTCAAATAAAATATCAGAAGAAAACTCCGTCCGCATTTTTTGGGGTATGTCATGAATATATTGGTGGATCATTTGACTAACCGAAAAAAAAAATTTTATCTTAGTAAAAAAACGAATAGCTTCGCTGTTACATTATCAAATCCAAAAAAATATACAATAAATCAAAATACGTGGATTAATGTTTACGAATTGTTCACGTTCGATAGGTAGATATACAAAACTTATAATTTGTACCTACTTTATTATCGACACGGTGAACACGACCACCTCATAATTTGAATAGCGGGTACGCCTTTTCTTTGATCGGATTGCACATGTATATCTATATATATATATATATATACATATTTGAGAATATCGCCGAAGTTATTGTTTTTATCAGAACACAGAAATACGAAATCGAAAATATTAATATTATATTTCCGTCTTGGAACGGTGCCCGAAACACCGCACGACCGTGTTATACGTGGTCATGAGAATATATTAAAAGATGTTAGCTGATATAGTATACTTAAACATTTTTATTATATTTTCCAATGCGGTGTCTTTCATTTTTTAGATAAAAAAAAAAAAAAAAACAGAGTATTGATTTCGAAACGCCCGAAGACCAAAAAACGAATAATACTTTTATACTACGTTTTAACCACGTCTCACTGCAGAAATCGTATTCATACTGTTCAATGGTTATAAGCATTATTAGTGTGATGGTTTTGTTGTTTTGAGAATTATAAACAAAAACGATATTATCAGTGACCTTTTTGAGTGCATTATTACTTTTTATTCCTCAGTTTACCCGATCTACCCTACATTGCCTTAATAGTATATCGAGTACTTGTACCGTTTTTTGGGGGGAAGGGAAGTTAACTATAAAATATCAAGTACAGTTGATTGTAAACTTTTGGCACAGACCCTACCTATAGTAGTTTTGGTTCGTATTCTCGATCCCGTAACCGTGTTTAACACTTGCATATTCTCATAGATTTGTTTAACATTTGTTTAACAACTTCATTTTTGTATTCATTTATTTTCTAACAAACGCCATTAGAAATTGCTTATATTCCAATGGAGTTTGTTAATCTTTGATAATCTGTACTGTTCCAAGTAAAAAAAAAAATCGCTATCAAGAGTCGACATTTATCGTTTATTAAATAGTAGAAATAAAAAAAATTTAAAATAATATTAAATACGAACTGGAATATATGTTATTTAATTTATTTTTTTATTGTCATAAGGAAATGCATTTTGAATGCATATACCTTTATAAATGTTAATCGACATAATATTATATAACTACTCTTTAAATATTTATTTCACTTAAATTAAAGTAAAGTCTACTGCGGAGCGAGTAAACAATTGCCGTATTTGAAATACGTATATTATGTACCCATCGTTTTCGTGGAAAACAAAGAGGAAGTAAAGAAAAAAATCCCTTTAAAAAAAAAAAAAACTGAGCGAAATACATTTTTTTTAACACTATTTTCTACTGAAAAACGTGAATATGCCATGCGATGCGTCCACCAAATTGTATCGAATTAGATAAAAAAAAAAAGCATGGTAAACGGGTTCAAATACATGCATGTTAAACTTGCGTAAAACGAAAGTATGTAAAAATAAATAAGTTGCCGAACAAGTGTTCCTAGACTCGGTGAAAAAACAAAACTTTTTTTCATCGTTCTACGGATTAATGACAGTAATATAATAAAGTTCTTTCCGTTCGTTCAAAAATCGGCATTATTAAACGCGTGATTCGTATATGCATATATACTAAAGCTTCTGTATCTATCAATCTTTGGAAATATGGGCTTAAAATTATTTTCTACGGATTTCAATACGGTCAAATTAAATCAAATAAAATTGACAATATAACAAAAGAACTGAAAACGTACTAAAATAAAAACATGTACTAGATCTAAACATGGACAACCAAACAACAATAATAGATAAAGGGATATCCAAATGTAAAGAAATCGATAGTGTAATCAACAGGCTTAAAAATTATAAAAACTCAGAGGACAACAGCATAGCGATAAAATTATTCAAAAGAGGTTGTGCAACATTGACAATCAAAATTAGAGATGTCATTAAAATCGAGAAATGGAGAGCATACCAGAAGAATGAAAAACAGCAATAGTGCGTCCAATATAATTATTATGGAGGTATGTAGGATAGGCCTACGAAAGAATTCATTATGTGTGAAAGGTGGATGATGGCTTTTTTTGGTAGTTGTTTGATGATAGGATAAGTTATTAGGTCATAACCACATCAATGAATAAATATTTGATAATTTCCGTATTCTATAAGCCATAAATTTTAGTGTGAAATTTTCGGATCCAGCTTCGAGGTGTTTTTGGCGATTCAGATTAAATATAAAAGGCTGAGAAAACTGAAGTTCGAAGTCACTAAGCCATCAAAGAAAAAAATTAAGCTTCAGCAAAATTTTTTTTTTAAAACTTAATAAACACCAACAATATTGCATTATACGAATTGTAAATCTGGTATACATTTCTACGTGATTATAATTCGTCCGTCCTAAAAACTTGTCAATAACCTATAAAGATGAACAATAATATTTATATTTTAGTAGCCACCAACTAGGTTGAATTTATTTTCCAGAAACTGATAACAAAAGAAATAAAAATAAACTAGAATGAATATTAAATTTACAAAGTCAGCCCTCATTTTCGCAAACTCTTTATTTTTATGTCGGTAATTAATAAATACTAAATTGTCAGCACATTGTTTTAATCACTTAAAAAATATGGTCTTTCTTGCCCGCTATGATGAAAATAAATCACTTTCTAATATTATAAGACCGAAAATCAAAAATTCTGATATTAAAGTACTATAACCTCTTATATAGTTGAGAAAATGATATGCTTCGCAAAAAGTACCGTGACTTCCTTTATAAACCAACCAAATCAAAAGTGCTACAAAAAAAGTTAATATAAAGTTTTTGATTGGAAAATGATTTCAAGCAGAAAATGTGTGTAAAACACAAAAAAATTAATACAAAATAAGATATTGCATAGTAAAATCAATACATTTTTCGTTTCGCTAAATATGTAAAAAAAAAAAAAAACAAATAATATTTATAACATTATATTATTTTAATAATATCACGTAAATTCGAACGAGTATAATAATAGTATATAAGGAAAATCTGTTTTCGACTGATCACGGCATTATCATGATCTTTGTACGTGTTATTATTATTTGTAGGTATTATCATTCGTGGTTTTCGTTGACGTTCACATTACGGTTTAATATACAGGGTAGAGATTATTCCCGAGCGTCGACAGTACCGGGACCGGGACCTCCAGCGGCGGCGGCGGCGGTAACCTTCGCTCCGGGAATCTTCTTTCTCCGCGGTGGTGGAGGAAATCAACTTCACTAAGCCTCGGATAATATTATTATTACCCTGTATATATATATATGTATATGTATGTACATATAGAGCGATCGGTATACATGTATACGCGTCTCGTCGACGCGAGGGAATTAAAACGTTTCCGACGACGACGTGGGTCCGGGACGTGCTTCGGGCGGAGAAACTCCATCGGTCATTTATCACCCCGACCAGAAACCCCGTACACACCTACATATATATTTTATTTATTTATTTATTTATTTATTTATTTATTATATATATATATATATATGAAAGATCCGTCTACCACCACTACCACCCGCACGGATGTCACGTAGGACGGCGGCGATGACGCACAAAAATAACGTATTTATGTTGCACGAAACGATTTCCGGCCGCTCCGCTCTCGCGGTTTTTTTTCAAACATCATCCCCCCCCCCCCAAACCCTATCGCCTAGTCTCTTCCGGACACTACATACCGTAATTCACCGCAATTCATACCGTGAATGACGGACGTAAAACCGCATGAGAAAAATCCGATTGAAACTTGAGTTATCTGATTCCTGATTCTTCGGTTCCATCGGTCTTCATATGTCTATATGTATTTATGCGTTACTGTGAAAATTGTCCCAGTGATCGTTTCCCCCGCTGGTACGCTGGTTCTTATTTTTATTTTTATTTTTTTTTTATTTCGTGTGTCTACGATAATTTAAATCATTTATAACTTTTGTTGAACATCAATTTTTATTTAAGGAAAATTTATTTCTATAGTAATAAGAAGTAACTACTAATAACACTAATAACACATCACTGATAATACTTAGAACGATTTGTATTCTTATAAATTGCAAAATGGTTATTAAACATGTTTTTTCTTCCTATAGACAATGTAAATTCCTAATTAATATTGTAAAAGTATAAAAATTTCATATAAAATATGGCCTTTAATGTAAGTAAATTGTAGTTCCTTTGCAGAAACCGGTGAACTATTATTAACTATCGTGAAATTGGACCAAGAGTTAAAATTCACATTGAAACTCAAATTATTGATTTTATTTATTTATGCAGGTAAATATGCACCGGTGAAGTTTTACTCCCTGGTATTTTACCGAGGAGGTATATATTTTCTCTGTTGAAAATTTATCGAGGTGAGTAAATATTTTTTAGCGAAGTTTTATCGGATTAGGGGTAAAAAAAAGAGAGTTAAATTTTGCGGTTATACCGATATATTCCCTATATAGCTAAAATAACAATACGCATTACTCATGTTTTTCAATACCGTAATCGAAAATATTATGTAGGAACAGTGTCAGTGTACAATTAATTCTTGAGTAAATTAAATTATAATAGCATTATTATCGTAGATTTTTCAAACACATTAATATTCTAGTTATAAAAATAAAGTCTCTTAAAAATTTTGGACAAATACGACTGATTTGGATCCTATGGTAGAGCGATTATTGGTGAACAACGTGATACAACACCGCAAAAACATTTTATGAAAAAAATTAATAAAACATCTGCGATCATAAAGCCCGAAAAAAATTAATTTTTTATACGCGCATTGGACGCCCTAACGTCTGTTCATTCGAAATTAATTGTTTTTTATAACGGTTTTTCAAAACGTTTTAATGACTTTTTTGTGTATTTTATTTTTTTTTCTTTACCACACAATCGACGTGCTCAGCACGACAGCGCGCCACCGCCGGGGAATACCGACGAATCTTGTGCGGGGACCCGACAATAATAATAATTAAGCGCGTACATTACACGACCGCCGCCGCCGCAGCCGCCGTAGTCATGTCGTTCGTTTCGGAATGGCGGTTGTGTGATGCGATATGATATTGAAAACAAACGTTTTAAAAAAATATATATATACTCGAACCGTATTTACAATAGAAATATACGCATGCGCGTTTGTGTATGTGTGTTTGTGCGTTATCACGGTGCAGTGCAAGGAAAAAAACCCGTTTGGAATTTTATTCGTTAATGAAAAATAATAATATAAATCCACAGCGGCCTCGGTCGTTTTAATAATTTGAACGCACGAGTCCCGTTCGTACGTTCCTTTGTAGTGCATGGGGATGGGATTTTTTTTTTTTTTCGAATTTGTCTCTTTTCAGACTTTGGCCCTACTATACGTACATTATACTATGCTATTATAAATATACGACGACGTTAAACAAACGGAAACAGGCGACGAATATCGTGCGGCGGACCGTTATATTATTATTATTATTTTTTTTTTTTTTTTTCATAATATTATTACGCAATATTAATACATGACGGTGAATATTTAAAAAAAAAAAAAAATGTATATAATATACACACACATTTTTGTATTATTCTTACTCACGCGCAAGGGGTCCGTTTAAGAGCTGCCATAGCTACTGCTGCGACTCCACAAAAACACAGAATACGAGTACCTATTATAGGTACCGTTTTTTAATGGCGAAAAAGAAAATAAAGAACGAAAAATAATAACACTGACGTTCTCTGGGCGAAAACGCATCGTAATAATAATAATAATAATATATCCGCCGACGGCCGTCGATCCGGCTCTTTATATTTTCGTACGAAAGTGCGTTGGCTGCGCCTCCTGCTCCGCCCGTATTACAGTTTCCTGCAGTCATCCGAGTAGTCGCAGTCGTTGTCATCGTTAAAGTGTATATTATTATTGTTCGAGTAAGTGTATAATATAAAAACTGCAGGGAGAACAAAATAAACACGCGTTTTAATTGAAGATCCACTCGTTAAACGCGGAGGTACCTACTTTTATTGCGATCCGTCTTTTTCCGTCAGTTTTTTTTTTATTATTATTATTATTATTTCAACGAGCTATTATACACGTATAATGCATTTTATACGAAACGACTGCGATGACGCGTATAAACGTCGAATATAATAGTATAATTATTATAATTATTATTATATCACACTTATACGACGCGGCGCTTTCCCGAGATGGTGTGTGATATACTAGCGGCGGGTTGTCTATTAGGGGTAAGAAAAACGCAGGTTTTTTTTATGTGTTTGGATTCGCAATAGTTTAATTATGTTTATGTTTCTAAATGCCTATTCGATTATTTTATTTGTGATATTTTGTAAACGGTTAAGTCAGTGTTTGGCAAATTCCTCTCATAAAATGAACTCATTCCCATTTACCGTTTCTGAGCGGAAAAAAATAATGTATTCCACGTCCATCGTTTCTCATTTTCTTAATGAGTACTATCTACATTCATATTCGTTAAAATTTAAAATACGATCCAGATAAAAAATTCTTTGTAAACATATTGTTCTTGAATAATAAAAGAAAAATACAGATTGTAAATTTTACCTATAAATTATAAACAAAAAAAGAACCGATACTGCTGATGGGTATAGTATTGTTGAAGGTCGAAGGTAGGAAGATAACATATAATAATCATAATGGTTTTTTTAATTTACAACTATTCATAAGAAACGAAAAAACATTCTTAACGAAAAACGATTCTGCAAGTCAAAGTTTGTTTACACATGTTTTTTAAGGTCTTAAAAATAACTATTTTTTATCAAAACTATTTAAAAAAAAATGCTTCATTATATTTACTTTTTTAGATTCAGAAAGGAGCGAGTTATCTATTGGTTTTATTATGAGGTGTGTTTTTCTTCTGTCTGTAAATAACTTTTCGAACAAAAAACTTGTTCCAATCGAAAAATTACAACAGATCGTTTTTGTTGAATTATGAATCTAGCTATTTAATGCGATATTTCTATTTTTCTAATTGTTAATAAGATAACAACAAATCGCGTCATCAATAAAATAGTATTACCATTCAGAAGAAAAATACATTTCCATCGTAATTGAGGAAATTTTTGGATTCTCTAAGCTGTTTCCCTTAAAAATTGAGAAAACTTAGAGAAACTGAAAACTGACAAGTTTACGGCGTTAAAATTTCATTATTTTAAATTTTGTACGGTTCAAGTTTTCTACCAGAAAAATACCAACGTTATTCCCGCTTTCCCTATATTTTCCCAATTTAAGAAAAATACAATGGAATTCATAATTGATCTTAATGATACTTGGAAATAATTTCAATAAAATACTAAATAATAAGAGGTGCGTTCTAGATACAATGTAATTCGTCCCAACCCAAAATTTGTTTTATGTGATAAAATTAAATTGGGTAATTATTGTTTCAAATGTTAAAAGTATTTCCCCATACTCTTGTGGACTTGGTGATATTTAAATATTGAGTGGCACCATATGAGGAGTGGTTGCAGCGGGACAAACATATTATTCCGTTATTTTCCTCATTGAGTATAGATAAAACGTAATGAATGAAAAAAAATAGATATCTAAATTCAATTTTCATTAATATATTTTATATTTGTCTCGTAAATAATAAATAGACATATATCATATTGAAATTTCAACGAAATAAAGTCATTTCATTATTTATAATATAACAGTTTTGCATGACAAAAAAATAGTTCTTGTACCTCTAATAATAATGTAAATTCACGAGAACCAATAATATTTTTTAATTTAATACAATTTAATAATACAAATTTAACAAATTTAATTAAAAAAAAAAAAAAACCAAAAGCCACGTACACACGATCCGTAACAAATCGTGAGACCGACAGTTGTCAAGACCGATCGCTTGTATTTAATAATATGACTGTATATAATATTCATGCGAACGATAACGACTGACAATCTATTTATGTGTGCGGTACCTGATGAATTTCAAACGAGTTTGAATTTTTATTGGGTGCCTATACGGACGATTTTAACACCGTTCAAGCGAACGTCGATGTGACTGTATTATAATATAACACAGCAACGAATGACAGCTTTTTCCTTCGTTGAGTCACTATCGGCCCGATTTCACACAATTCCTCCAATTTCGTAAAAATTAAACAGAACTTTTCAATGACAATCTTATTGAACGTGCGACTTGTCTACTATTATAATACCGACTGATACCCATTCAGAAGAAAAAGTTACGATTGTTTTAAGAGGAAAACTTGTAAAACGTTCCAACCTTAATAGTATTAGATTTGGAGCAGACCGAGGGAACTAATGGTTGATAAAAAGCCGAAACAAAATAATAGAAAAAACAACAAATCGCCGTTAAATCAAAATTCTTTAAGTAGATTGGTGAAACACATTCAAAATTCGAATTATTTTACGGTTTCCAGTAAAATAAATCTATTTGTATTTCCAACATGTATCCTAGTAAGCAACCTAAAGAATTGTAATATTTTTTCAAAATGATTATCCGTTAAACTTAATCCCTGCAATCTTGTCACCGATCCACTTAAATAAATTGTTATAAACAAAACCAGAACTCGATTATCGACGCGATTTACAATCGAATAGAGAAGAAAGTGTAAAAAGCGATTTGTATAAAAATAAAATATTTTAAAATAAGATCGCTGTTTGCCTGTGAAAAACTATATAAAAGAAATCGATCTTTGACAAACTGCTTTATCGTTCCACAGGTGGTCGGTCTTTGACCAATGTCAGGTTTTTTTTCACGCAATTAGATTGACGACGCGCGATGGTCAGAGAGACCCGACCGGCAACGCGGCGACGCTGTGAAATTGCCTACTCCGACAGCCGTTTAATAAATGTAACGTGATAAATAAAACGCCGTTTTAAAAGACACATTGGGCAAGTGTAGTTTGAGCATTTAAATTAAATCGGCCACCAAAAACGGTTCAATTGGAACACCCGAAAAACGCAAAAATATTTTAGTAAACAGATTTGCGACCGGCCGCACCTTATACATTTGCAGCTCGAGGTGGCTGTGTCAATTGCTACACCCCTCCGCCTACAATCTCCCAAATACACCCCTGACCCAAATCCCGACCCGTTGAAATATTTCGCTTTAATTATAAAACTTGTGGGTAATGGCTATTATACGCGTATTGTATAAACGCGCTAGAGGTCTGAAATGCGATATTTTACTAGAATAATATTATGATCTAAAAAACAATAATGTATTTTATTATTCTATACATTTTTAATTGAAAAACTTTCGAAACATTTTTATTGCGTTGTGTATGCGATATAAACTACAGCAACCAGATATTATTTGAAATCGTATATTAAAACTTACGGTGACGACTCAACATGGGATTTTGCAGTGGTAAAAACAAATGAATTGATACTGCCATTGTTGTAGGTGGAAATTTGAAAAATTAGGATAAGTAAATACGTTGTTTAAATTATATCCACACAGAACAATAATGCATTGCTAACGAAAAACGATTCTGAAGTTCGATTAGACATTATTTAAAAAGACTCATCAAAATTTGATCCTAATAAGCTTCTACTAAAACAACTTCATCACGTTTAACTTTTTTTTTTAACCACCGCATACAAGTTATAATAAACATCGTTAAATTTTCAAGCATTTCCATAGATACTAAAATTGTATCTGCATAATACTTATCAAATAAGAAATAAAATCAAAAATTTAAAATGCCTATGAATAGCTTAAAAATTCCTAGAATAATTCGAAAATTCTAATATAGTTATTAATTATTATTTTTAAAATATAATTATTCTGTCAAAAAAAAAATGAGAAAAACTCTCTACGATAACTCAAATCCAATTTAAAATAAAAAAAAAAACCAAATTCAAAAATAACAAAACCGTTAATGCCGTAAACTTCCTTGTATTTCCTACGTATTTTGTCGTGTTTCCAAATTATTACGAAAATTGTTTGGAAAATCAAAACAATACTCTCTAAGTCACCAACCAGATCCAATATCTAACAAAAAAATATCTTTTGGCATTTTTTGATTAGGGCCAAATATCTGGTAGAATAGTTACTCACAGAAGCAAAAAAAAAAAACATTCTAAAACCAAACATTTTCCATTTAAAAATGGTTGTAGCGAAAATCGTCAAGATGATTTTCGTTCATTTAAATTAAATTAAGAAAATGTATAGAAAACAAAAATTAAATTATGTTATTGTTTGACGATTGTTCGATGAAATAATATAATGTATAAATAATAATATTACGAACATTTCGAAATGAAACCCGGATTTTCATTTTTTAGACAGCCTGCCTGTCATTGATAATTTGTTTTTGTTGATCCACAAATTCCAAAAACTATTGTATCTATATAAAAAAAAAAAAAAACAACTACTAAAATAAAATATAATAAAATATATTCAGCGCTATATATATATAAGTATTTACCACGCAGTTGCCAGATTCGAAACGAAATTCGGTCAATCAATATTATTAACTCGCATTTTGACCACCTCAGCAAAATCTCAAAAGAAAATTCACGATATAAAATGGTTCTAAAAAAAACTGATTATTGAATTGTAAAAAATGCAATTAACTCCAACAGTTCTCCGAAATCGAGCTATCAAAGATCAAGTGAATCAAGTGCGCAGTTGAAACCCCGGCGTTTAGTGTCCGTGTAATAATTAAAAGACGTCGATGATGACGTTTTCCTCATCCATTTGGGCCGTTTAACGTTACTCTAGGTTTTATGCGTAAAAGAAAACAATTAAATTACATAAAGACAAACTATGATAAACGCATACATTATGTACAAACACCATATATGCAATTGTTATTTCTTTCGTTTTATCTTTTTTGTCGCAAAATTGAAAATAAACAAAAAATATAATCGCCAATATTTATATCAAAGCTGATATATATATTTTTTTTTTTTTTTAATCACATGAATAATCGAGAATTTATTATATGATAATAATTTAGGTTGCATCAACGCAATAGTTAATATTATGTACCATTCAGTTTAGGTGGTAGGAAGGGACGATCGTGTTTTCGCACAACATGCGCAATATGTTATAATATTATGCTTTTTTCGTGTAAAGAAATTTGTTTTTGTATTTTGTTATTCTTTCGAGTTTTGATTTTCAATAAAAAAAAAAAAAAAAAAAAATATATATTTTAAGTGTACCATTTTAGATTCTGAGTGAAAAAAGGAACATTGGTTTTACAATAGCGTTTATTTTTTTATTTTATGTGAATTTTTTTTCTACTAAAAAGCTTACTCCGATTATCAAGTATAGCACCTTTTTTAAAAGGAAATATTCTCTGAATGTTACTTTTAACAGGTCATTTTTTGAAATTCTCATAAATATTCAAGATAATCAGAAAAACATCGGTCTTTAAGTTAAAAAAAGATTGAAAGATTAAAAATAAGGTTGTCATTAGCAGCAGTTTTTATTTATTTTTTATTATTTTTTTTTTTAATCTTTTTTAAACGATCATTTTTGTCATGGAAACGCACATTGTTTTAATCATTCTACCATAATATGGCATAGTAACATATATTTTATTGTTGACAAAGCAACATTATCAACTAAACTCCGCTTAGAATCGTTTATTCGTTAGCAACGGTTTATCGTTATTAACAGATGTACATTAAATTTCGTCTATTTCCTACCTTCCCAATTTCCCACCTACAACATTGTCTGCGCCCACAGGCGAAGTATGTCCGTTCTTTTTATTTGTTTTTTAGCCGTTTCAAATGTTTTTTATTTTAATTTTACAATTCAGCAATCTCTTCTATTCCATTACGAGATTTCCATATAAAGAGAGCGTTGAAAAATCGCTTGCGCCACAAGGAAGCGGTAATGCTGAAAAGGTTGAGAAGCACTGTTATAAAACGATCTTTATATTATTATTAATATCAGTAGTGGTAGTGTATTACGTTCGGGGTTAAATAGTATGTACAAACCGTTGATACGGGTTACCTACATTATTGTGTCGAAGCGAAAACCGTGTTTTATGATACCTAGATATTGGTAATAATTGAATCGCGTATCGTTCCGAATGAACATTCTTACATAATATTATAACGCGTTCGGCCGGAACCTATTGTAATAAAGTTTTTCGATATCCACCTACCTACCTTATTTCTCACGATTTATCCTACCACACGAAAGCGGTTAAGTTAGATATTTCGATTGCCTATAAACGTATAATATAATATGTAATTATTATATGCTGTTACGATTTAATAAACGAAACTTTACATTTTTTTTTAATAATATATATTATAGAGATCAAAACAAAATTTTTTTTCGCGAGCGCATCTTTATATTTTACTCACGGAAAAAATAAATTCCAGTTTGCGAACAGATAATTTAGGTGAATAATAATGCAATTTGTAAGTATTTTTTTTTTTTACGGTTTAAATTATTGTTGAACAAAAAATTGCTTAAAGGTAAATCATCGAAATATAATAAAGAACAAATAAGGTCTTTTAGTCGATAAGGAGAAAATCAATATTGACGAAGTTATTAGCCTCAAAACGCAAAAGATTGATTACAACAAATATTTTTTAAGGATAATTTATTCTCATTAACAATATTTAAGAAAAAAACGACGCTGTGTGTTCGAAAAAATATTCTTCTCCATTAAATCTTGTTACCCGTGTACTAATATCAACTTAAACACCGTAAAATCAATTCTGAATTCTATAATTTTGTATTGTTTTCCGTCGGTTGGACTGACACAGTAAATGCAGGTACACAAACCTCTCAGAAAAACGGAAAAACTACGAAATTGCAAATAATAACCGATTATTGTCCACCGCGTACGAAAATCCAATTAACTCGTGTAGTTAAAACATAATACGGTGTACATATAAACGACAGAAAACTAAAAAAAAAAATAATAATAATTAATTAATAATTCTTTAAGAAATTAATTTAAATTTAAAATATTGCGCTTGACGGTAATTCACAAAACAACTAAATTAAATATTTCTTCATAGATAAATAGCTTGGAATGAAAATTTAGTGTGTGAGGAAAGGGACAAGACATTTAGATTCAGACTGCGGTAAATATATCGTATATTGGCATACTGTTCTACAAATTGTTCATTGATTCGGTTATTGGGTTCCCTAGAATATGTTTTTTTTCTCCGGTACTACAGCTCGTTTAGAAAAATAATATAAAACGAGTATTATAACCAGGGTTTCAAAACGTTTTTAAAATAATCTTACTATAACGTGAAACAATTCAAAAACTATTAAAATCAGTAACGGATAACTGATAATATAACACTAAACGATAAACGATTGAAATGAATAACAGATAACGTAAAATAAAATGTTTAATGATTGGAATATAACAGACATAATAAACAGTTCATATTAGTTTTTAATTTTTATCTGACAACAAAGGACAATAATAATAATTGTATTTTTTAATATCAGTACAAATATACAATTTTAATATTTAAGGTTAGTTTTGATATCAATATTTGGAGTAGAACAACTCGTATTAATATTCGAGTGTTATTGATAGACTGTGGCCGTATTGTTGTGATAACAAATGTTCACCGTTAGTTTTTGGTACGTTACATTAACTTGTACGAATTGTGTAATGACTACGTGTTGTATTAAGTTTTATATAGTTATAATTATGAAAAAATAATTATTTTAAGACAAATTTAGGACGTTTCGTTATTTTTCATTTTTCATTTTTATAGGAGAAACCTTGCTCTGAAATTTTAAGATAAGCTTCTTAAATAAAATTGTATCTAATTGGTGAGCAAAAAAGATCAGTTTTTTATTTTCTGTTTAGTTTTCTTAATAATTTGGTAAAAACGTAAAAAAAATAAAACAAAAATGATTCAGCATTATATCGATTTAATTATTTTCGATTTTTTTTTTTTTGTTATTCGGTTAAAAATAATCGTATAGATATGATATTTTCACAGAATACTTATATAAATCTTTTCTAGACATAGTAAAAATTGCAGACATCCTTTTGATTTTGAGCTATTTATAAGCATTTGCATTTTTGAGTGGTAAAACATGTTCAGATCTTGATCAGAACTCAATAAAAAATCGACCAAGGTGAAGATCTCGCCTTGTCTGTAAACCACTTTTCTACCAAAAATCTTGCTCCAGTCAAAACAATTTAAAAAAAAAACTTTCATGTAGAATTGTTGAACTAGTTGATGCATTAGGAAGGTAATTATTTAATTTTCTCGATAGTTTTTTTAATATTATGAAAAAACTGTCATTCGTTTATTAAACAGATACATTAAAAATAAAATAATTATTACTTTACATTTTCCACTGTTTTTCCATTTTTAAAGAGAACTTTTAGGCAAACGTCTTTCATATTTCATATTTATACGAATTTTTATAACGTATCGTGATCGATTCATTTTCCATTCAATCCCCCTCCCTCTCTTCTTATATATATATACACGTGTGTTTAACTTTGATAAACTTTCAAATGGTAACCCGTGGTTTTAATTAAATTTTCCCAAGCGCAATAACTTTCTAGTAATTTTGATGTATCGTCTATTGAACCGACTGGCCGACAGTCTATTATTATTTTATTTGTATTTCGAATTTAGAAGAGCAAAATCGTGTATAAATATATAATGTAATATAGCATGCGATGGTATACACTAACGAATTATTTGCCTCACTTGTTATCAAAACTCTGCGGATAATATAAAATATATACGTTTTATATTACATCATATCAATTGGTCTCAGATAATTAAATTTGAGAAAATTACCAAACGGTATTTTTTCTTATCAATTACGTAGGTACTTTTAACCAGGTATACTAGATAGCCAACAATTTAAAACATATGAAAGATATTATCTATATATTTTTATCAACTTGTTACATTCAATAATTTCAGTATGTAAAACGTGACCATATTGGCTTCGTTTCAGAGCGAGACGATTTTACATTTTAGTAGAGAAAATAGGACAAATATTTTGCGCGTAGAATGGCAACAATAAAATAAAATGAGCTGATACTGGACATGGGAGCGACTATTGTTGTAGGTGAGAAATTAGGAAGGTAAGATACATAAGGTTATTTCATTTATATATGTAAGCAACGATAAGCAATTGCTTGATAAAATACGATTCCGAGCGCAGTTCGGTAATACATAATTTGAAGTGTCGTAATTTTTTTTTACGATTTTCGTTTAAATTTGATTTCAAAACGCATATTAAAAAAAAAAGTTATCCGATCACTTTGAAATTTGACCACGTTTAAGTAAGTCAAATATAAGTATTATTTCCAAGTTTCAAGTTTTTAAGTGTATTTATAACCGAATTACAGCAAAAAAAAACTCCCGGAATTTTAAATTCTTTAAAAGATCAAAAGTTTTTGGCGATGATACCGGAAGAACGTAAATCAAAAAGACAACAAAAATGGTATTGTGTGGTTTTTCGATTAAATCTTTTTTTCTGGAAAAAAAACGTCGTCTGTGTTTTTATAAAATAATTAAATCGTGGCGTCGTTAATCAAAAAATGACCTTTTTAAAATACAATTTAGACAACTTAAGCTTTCAATAAAGTTGCTACACGTAAAAATCTAGAGCAATTTTATTAGGAAAAAACGTGTCCACAGACTAGAACAAAAAAGAAGAAAAAAAAATAAAAATAAACAGCATTGTAAAACCAATAGCCCCCTCGTTACGCTTGGAATCTAAAATAAGTTAAATAATGTTAGGTATTATATTTGTTCAAAATTAAAATACAACTAATCTTGTACAGTTTAGCGGCCTGGTTTTCTACATTTTTCGGATGAGCTAATCTACATCCGGCGTGAACAGATCAGCAACGAGTAATGCGTTGTATTGTTTTGTGCTGCGAATTATAAATACACACCTTTTTTTTATAGAACGGATTACCGTTTTTAAAAAAGAAAATTGTTTTTTTTTTTTTGAGGACAGCGGAATATATTGTTCAAAAGCAATGGTCATGCTAAGTATATACTTTTGAAACATTGCCCTTTAGAAAAGTTAAAGTAGGTGTTATATCTAAGTACATATTCGAGTGAGAAATTCTCTAAAAAAATATATTGTTTGCTCCTGTATAGACGATCACTCTGTAAATGAAAAAATAGACGTAATGGTGAACTCTTTCAAAGACCGGATACAATAAAATACATGACATATGACACACAGAAGGCCGACGTGGATAGGTCATGCAAAAATCGAAAGCAAGGATCGTTGGTAAGGACAACAATCAAAGAGGAACTTGTAGGTAAGTGACAATTTGAAAGACCACGACTACGCCGAGAAAACTATATTAAATATGATATAGAAAAAGAGGAACCTTATATTTGCAGTTGAAGACAGTGTAAAAATGTAAGGAGAGTTGAAGAGAATTTTATTTGGTTGCATGGTCACAATGATCGGAAAACCGAAGAAGAAGTAGACGATTTAGAAAAGGAGCACATGAAAATGCTTGATTAAGAATTTCATCTCGTTATTATACTTCTCGGTATAAGTGACTCCTTTTTTTTATATATATAAACAAACAAATTTAAAGCCAAACATGCTTGACATCATGGACCACTGTACTAGATGGGAAATTTTATTTCACGAAATATTTATTATCTAAGTACTGATTCGAAAAAAAAATGCGGCAACAAATATTTTAATTTGGGGTGGGATTCCCAATTGATTTCACCTGAAGACATTTCTGTTTTGTACACTCGAAATCTAAAATTGTAAATTCAATAAAATTAGGTATAAATATTGGTTTGGTCATTTGACCACCCTCCCCACCGCCACATCTGTCAACTCGATATTTATTCATTAATGTTCAGACTTTTTCAACTTCCGATTCGTTCACGTTACAAAACGGATAGTCAGAACTGCCCTCGCCATAAATGTTCTGTACCTATATATTACCAGTACGTCTGCGAGCGAAATAGTTGTAACCCCGTAAAAGTATCACCCTGTATATTATTATCGTTATGTTGTTGTTACGTGCGGGTAACGAGTGTCCGAACCGTGGACCAGGTGCCGGCGGTCCGTCCGGGCGGTAAAACGATAATACGAGCCGCGACACACTGCGCAATATGGGACACGGGGACGGTAAATAATTTAGTCGGCGAGCTTAAGAAACGCTGAACCTTATCGCCGACCCGATACGCACAATCGCCGCGTGTATTATGTTATTATTGTATATACGCGACATTGGTCCGGGGACCGATCCATTTGCAGATTACTCGTACGGTGCACGGCCGGGGCAAGTCAGTGGCGGTGGCGGTGCAGCGCATAATATTTACGTCGCCGGCCCCGCGACGGTCGTGTAACGCAGTTTTCCGGCAGCCGGCGGCCACGGCGTCCAGTCAATTTCAGTATTACGTAAAAAAATAATAATAATAATAATAATAACAATAATTTACAACAATAATAGTAATAATTTTGCCGCGAAAATACCGAGCACAGTCGATGCCGCCGCCGTAAACAAAACGCCGCCGCCGCCGAGCTGCGCCACCGTACAGACCGATCGGACGTTTTATTGCAATATTATTATTAAATATTTCATTTTTCGGACGACAACAATTTACTGTGGCGTAGTCGTCGTCGTCGTCGAGTACTGACGTGACAAAACGAAAACGCGATAAATCCATACGCCCCGAAATCACTCGTTCTATACCTTACATTATGTTAAAAAAAATATCCGAAATTTGGCCGAAAATACGAACGGACGAAAATAAATGTTGAGGGACATTGAATAGTCAAAAAGTTAAATTTATGTTATAAATAAAATTAATTTTTAAACTTATTGATTTTAGTGGATAATTATTTTTAGCGTTTACTAATACTAACTAAACTAGATAAAGCTTTTCGTTGTATAAAATTAACTTTTCACATTTAATTTTTATAGACACCTGTTAAATTAACGTGTTAACAACAAATGATGTTTTTGACGTTCAATTTTATTTGATTGTCCTCAGCACTATAATTTACGGACTACAATTTACTATGTTTTTTATTTAGTTTATTTTTATAGAAATTGTATTGCATTATAATAAATAGTTTATTATTAAATAATTTTGATTGTTCGTAGCAAAATTAAATTTTTTAATAAAGTTAACTTATTATTTGCATTTAAACATTTAAATAATAAAATAATAATGTAAAACAAAATTATTGAAACTTAACTTTTAACTTTTAATTGAAGGCCTTTTTTGATTATTCAACTTGAATTAATCGAGTTAATTATTTTTACTAACTTGCACGCCTTTTTTCAACTGAATAAAATAATGCGGGTGATCTTTGGACCGGAAATGGATCGCGAAAACCACGAAGATCAGATACAAAGGAAAATAAGTGAGCTATTCAGATAATATTCGGATAAAAGTGTACCTATTTTAGTAGGTAAAAAAATATAATTACTGTGATAGATCAGACATACACAGAGAAACCAAAACTCTAAATAACTAAACGGTCAGTGCTGGGACAGAACTTTATAGGGAAAAGGGCATTTAGGAAGCTCGATGCTGAAATGCTGCTAATTTGTTTTTAATTTTAAGAGACACTTTTGTTTAATGGCATATTTATAACAAAAATGATAAAACATTGAATTTTTGATTTGTTTGGAAATAAGAATTATTAAATATTTATAAACACTGCAGAAGTTTATTCTGAGACTATCAAATTATACTTGTTTTATAAACTCAAAACTACAAAATACATCCTTAAATTATAATTATGTATCAATAAATTATTATTTATACAAATCAAAAGTTAAAAGTTAAAAATTAAAATTAAATGCCCAGTCTTGATTATTTTTATGTTACAACAATAAATTATTCAGAACCACGCGCGGCTCCCATCACAAAAAAAAAACATTTTTCGTTATCTAAATTACATACTACGCGTACCTTATTATTAATATTTTTTTAAGGAACGGTCATGGAGACCGTGTTAAATTCTTGAACAAATAATTATTATTCAAATATAACAAGTCGAAAATTTGGGCGCATGCACAAAAACGTATTTTTTTTTTTTTGTAAGGAGTTGGGTTTTCTTAAATTTTAAAGTATAGTTTAAAACCTCAAAAACTCCCTCTTGTTATACGCACCTCGAACGGGCTAGGTGAGTAGATACCTACTCATGTAACAACAGTCAGCAAAAAAATAAACCGCGACCGAATATTAAATTCGGTGTTCGGTTCATAAAACAAAATGTAAGAATACGCATGATGGAAAATATTACCATTTTATTTTATTTTATTTTTTACATATAGAGTGTACGAATTTAATTTAATAAAAGAGATTGTATAAAATGAGACGACGAGATAACGTAGATTTAAGAAGTTCTTACAGGTTTTTATTTACGATCTAAAAAAATAATATATTATATCGGCGGTGACCGTATAGAATATTATGATTTTTTTTTATTTTTTTGTTAAATCCGTCAGTACATTTTTCACATTATAATATTATCTAAATACATATTCTCACCATTCGTTTAAAATGGGACTCAGCAATAGCTCACATTGTCCCCTACCCAGCTATGATAGGGATTTCTGTAACTTTCAACATCTGTTTCTAAATTGTCCATCTCTCTCTCTCCAAAGAATTCAGCTAGAGTCTTTCTATTCCATTATTGGTTTCAACTTCTCCCTCATCAACGCTCTCTCAGGTAATAACGTAACTATAATCATATATACGCTTAATTTTATTCTCCAATTGAATTTAGTAGTGTGTGTTTTACTAATGTTCATGTTTGTTTCTCAATGATATGTGCACGATAATTGTCAAGATACTATAATTATCCTTGTTAAAATCTCACTAATAAAAAAAAAAAATACATGTTCTATGCTTCATTGTAGTTTATAAGTGTGCGCGACGTTTCCAGACTCCGCTGCAGAATATTAATGCAAACGTTATTTCAGACACTTACCAATGTATTAATATTAAACATAAATTGTTAGACGATTTAATAAAAATTGCACCCGTTTCTCGACACTTTTTATTTGTATAATATTGGAATCTTCGTGAAATTGTATTTTTTTCGTTATAATAATTCGTCGTTACAACAAAATAACATGAAATTACGAAAATATTTGTTTGAAAAAATACTCATAATTATCTTTTTTTTAAATTTTAAGAGAAATATCCCGTTCTTAAAATATAATTGAATTATTTATTTTCCTGAATATAAAAATAGCTATATTCGATAAAATCCAAAGTATACGCATTTAGAATATGACAGATATGTAATTGCACTTAGACTTTTAAGTATAATTACAGGTATGGACTGAAAATATACAAAATCCTAAAATTTACTCTAAAGATCTAAAAGCACGAAAATAGTAAAATACAATTTTGTATACAAAATCAATGGGTCATGAAACGCATTTTGTTACGAATAAGCTAATTGTTATTTAAATATCTGACTAAATTTTAATAATATTTAATATTATTTAAACCATACTTTCCGGAGTTTTTTTTTTTTAACGTTTATTAGTATATATACAATCTGTAATGATATTTACAATAAACATATGAGCGTTCAGACATACTAAACTGACACGAGGGAGTGAGGAGAGGAGCTACCCGGCAGTAACACTCAGAATTCCGAAATTTAACTAAACATAGTTTCTGATCGGTGATGATTATATTTCAAGTTCAAATACCCTGTATGTCATTAACTACTATTATTTTTTAGGGAAAATATATTAATCTAATCGGTAGGAAAAATATACATATTTTCGTGGTTATAATTGAAAAAAAAATGGCCTACTGCTATAGTGATATTTGGGTAACGACAACGCAACAATATTTGTCAATAACGACAAACATAAATTCCATGAGTAAAAATACAGAAATACTTCGCACGATGGGTGGATCACTGTTGTAGTTGAGAAATGGGGAAAATAGGGTATAAAGGGGAATTTTATATATATATATATATATATATGTACGCAACGATTAATCATTACTATCGAAAAACGNATCAAATTCAACAGATCAATTTGCCGCCTGAAGAAGAAAGGTAATCAAATTTATAATTAACTTACACGTGTGAATCAATTTTATATAATTAGGCTAAACCCTCCCCTATATTTTTGAATTACTACAGAGCAGAGTTCAATTATACTTGTTTTAAAAGGCCGTATTATTTACGATTTTCATCAAAAATTGATACTAAAATTCTTTTAAAAAAAAAATACTACATAAATCTCAACTTTTTCTTGCTGAATAATAAACACAACTAATAATGAACTTTTTATGATATATTTAAGCATTTCTGTTTGGTTTAACAATTTTATCCACAGAGTAACATCGAATAAAAATTATGTAATGAAATCACAAAATTAAAAATTCTATACGTAAGTAGCTCAAAAAATGACTCAAATGTTTGAAAATTGTACTACGTCTAAAAAAGACAAATATAAGTTTTCTGTCAGAATTTCAAGTTTTTATGAGCATTTGGAATTGAATTATAACAGAAAAATAAAATCGAAAATAATAAAAACATTGAATTTTCCCGTTTTTCCTATTATTATGAAAACTGCTTGGAAAATAAAAAAATGACCTTTTTAAAGTACCTACCAACTAGATAAAACCTTTCCCTTTTCCTCAAAGATATGACCAAATATCCGCTAATGAGTCTTAAAGACAGAGTTTTATACGTATTGTTATTTTAAAAACCCCGAATACGACAAGGTATAAAATAAACAAGTGCTCGAGCCGAGAATTAAAGTTCTTGTCGCTATTTTTCACGGCGTCAAGGAAAAATAACCTATTTAATGTGCACGGGTATATCTTTATACATATATCCCAGTAAACTTTTTCGGTTTTTATACGCTAATGTGTTCCGAAACGTATTTTCCGGAAAATAAAAAGGTTTGTTAATGTTAAGCGTAGAGCCGTCATATTGTTTTCACAGACTAAAATGTGCGAATTGTTTATTAACCGCCATAATTAATACAACGCATACATACGTTTAACTTTTATCGGTAAATGGCGTGAAATCACGTAACATTTGAGGGTGTAGAGATAATAATATTATTACACTGTTTATATGAAATAATTTTAAAGCGTATAAAAAAAAAAACCTATACGATTAAATTTGAAAATTTGTTTTTTTTTTTTGTGAAACGGTAAAAAAAAATATAAATACGTCAGTTCGAAATATCATAAGTATAGAGAATATACTCCAAAGTTTAATAAACAATGTTTTTTTTTTTTCATTACTTATTTGAAAACAAAGTTAAACGGAAAAACATTTTTACTTCCTCTGTAAAAGCTAATGCGGAAAAAAATATTTATACTTTCAATCGTTTTATAGTGTGCGTGTTAAAATGATCAAAATCAAATGAAAAATACGTGTGCATTTTATTGAGAACTTAAACATTTTTTTTTTCTTTTCGCTCGAAATAATAGAGTTTTTCCTCCCCGATATTAACGAACCCAAAGCACCGTGTCTTGGTCCAATTATTTCCAATCGATTGAGTTCGCTACACGAAATAACAAAACCATCAGAAGCATATTTACCACCAGATAAAAGTTATCACACACAATTGTCTGTTTTCTTTTTCCAAAACACATAGTTGTAAAACTATTAACATTCGTATTACAAAGAAATTCGTGCAAAACATAAAATATTTTTTTCGATTCGTTTTATACTTTGAATTTCGAAATTACAGCGAATGACACTTCGCACTATGTTTGAACTGTTGTTGTAGACGACAAGTTGAAAAGGTAAAGTGTATTGGGTAATTAGTTTACAGTATGCATACAACAACGAAAAAACATTGTAAACCAAAAACGATCCATAAACCGGTAGGTAAAGTTATAAACAAATCGAGTTTCACCTACCAAGGTAACTCAGAAATCAACAAAAATAATACTGATATAATAGCATTGTTATTTGTTTTTTTTTTTTTTTTTGGTTTGATTTGTTTAACACTGTCAAATTTAAAAATAAAAAGTTCCACCGGGCCGAAAGTCAGCGCTTTATTGAGCTGCGATGTGAACAATTTGAAATATTTATACTTTTCTAAGGGGAAAAAAGGATATATGGTGAGAATTTCACAAAAACGTTTCAAATAAAGTACCACCACCGGAAATTCCACATCTTTTGGTGTATACCTAGTGTGTAAAACAAAAAAAATTAAAAGCTATTTTTCGGATAAAGTTTTTGGGAATTTCACGAAAACGCTTCAAATAGAATGTATCATACGGCCGCGCCGGACTAAAATACCGCATATTTTAAGTGTATAGACACAGTGCCGTAGTAAAATGTTTACCAACCGAAAAAAATGTTTTTCAGAGGAATAAACGCTATTTTATAATATTGAAACACTCAAAAACTGAAAAAAAACATCAACAATAAACCATTGTCATCAAAAACCGATTCTGAGCGGAAAATTACCAGTCGTATTTTTTACAGTTTGTCCCCATTTATTAAGAAAACTACAACGAACATCAAAAATATAACCTCCTCATCGAACCAACAAGATCAAAAATTCTTCAAGATAGTTACTATGGAGTTTTTTTTAGTTCGGAGCGAAATTACCGGTATCCAGGAAAAACGTTTACAAGCACAAGAAAGCAACACGCATCACAGTACAATTACCGATACATTCCTCGGTGAACTCAGAATATTATTTAGACTTGATCCGACGAATTTTTTTCACCGAAGTTTTAACGACTGCACCCTCTAAATGATCGAGGGCGGACGATTTTCAGTTATTAGAAGAAATTATACGTCTAATGACGCAGAGTCGGTTTTTTTTTTTATTATTATTATTATTTTGCTACACGAACTACGGCGACGAATATAAATTTAATATACGTAATACACTTTTCCAGTGCCATTATATAATCGAATTTCGCCCGTTGTACAACACAACTTATAATAGTTTACAAACTAACCGTACTTAAATTTATTTACGGCGATAAATTGCGTTTAATACCCGTTTAATAATATTATTATGATATTATTATATTCGTCGTACAATGCGCGCGGAATTAAATTATTTATCTATACGCGCGACGACCGCGACTCTAAATGCTGCACGTAACGGCATTAAAACGATTATTTATTTTGTACACCGTGTATATTTATAGCTTCAAATATAATACTGCCGCTACGTACGGCGTATAATAGCATATTTCACATCCCGAAATGAAAAATTTTTCCAAAACAAAAAACAAATGTTCCACGAGGATAATATTTTGGAAAACGTTGCGGTTAAACCGCGCGGTATTCCGTCCGTTTCACCGGAAACCAAAACACGGGTACGTATACGAAATTCGTGATACGCGAAGAAAAAGTCGTCGTGCAGTTTTTGTGACAAGAGGCTGAAATCGGCCGGAGCGTACGCCGCGTGTATTTGTAGTATTTCGTGGACGATCGCGGGAAAAAATAACGTTAAACTCAAATGTTAATAATAGTTACGGGTTTTACATGGTTAGAGGTCGTCGACTCCGCGGAAGAGCTATTTTTTTGGAAGGGCGGGAAAAGAGAGTTAACCGCGAAAATAGTAATATTTAGTGAGAGAAAAAACCAATTGATAAGCGAACGCGTTTGTCACATATTATGTTTGAGGGACGACTCTGAGGATTCAGAGACCCCAACCTCTCTAGTTGCGCCAAAATGTCCACGCGGTGATGTGGTTTTTCTTTTCAAAAGTAACGGGGGAAAATCAACAAAATAAAATAATAAAAAAAAATGTCCAACCTGTTCGATTCACGCACTCCCTCGGAAACCGCGACGAGACGGACACGATCGACGAAACACGCGTGCAGCAGGACTCGGTGACGATAGACGGGCGATATTACCGCGCACGGTAACCACGGTATTCGCGGTGATACGCTTGTTTTTCGGGTTTTTTTTTTTTTTTTTCGCGTACCGGGAACTCGCGGAAACGACGACGACACGAACACTATGCGCGAGACGCGAGACGAAACACGAAACGAGACGAGACGAGACGAGAAGACAATGTCGCGCGCTGGCTGCCGACCACCGACTGGACCGCCACCGAATCCCGTCAGCCTCGGCCGACCCACGGTGGCGACGACGGTAACAGCGCCGCCGCCGGTGACCGGGACACGCGTTTCGCTGGCACCCGTGTCGGTGCCTAACACCCCGAGGACCGCGGATTCAGTTTTTTTTTAATCGCCCAGCATGCGATAACCTACCTGAACCCCGACGAAGTTAACCGATATTTACTACCCCCCTCCTAAACTCCTTACCACCCATCACCAGCCGCCAAATTACATAGGCTGACATGTATTAACGAATAGAAAAAACAAGCTTTTAGACACGGACAAAATGTCCATCACTTTTTATGTGGATATTTCAAATAAACGATGTACAATATACAATATTACAAGC